TGGGTCACTACAATGCCCAGCTGAAAGTCTACCTGGACAGTGAACACAAGTTTTCTGCCACAGACTTTCTGGCCAACATGGAAGCAAAGGACATACAGCCTAATAGAGTAGGTGTCAGTTATTATGGTTATTCTGTTTTAAATGTTGGAAGGGGGATGGATAGGAAAATATCATCACTGGTCATTCCCACTTTTGTCTAGTTTGAGCTAAAACCAAAATAAAAAATTCCATACACCCCTCTTCAACTTCTTAGTCTACAATGGCACATCCTAAATTCTTGTTATAACAAAAGTAAGGGTCAAGCTTCTGACTGGTGAAAAAAAATACCTGTATTCTATTCCCAACATTCAATTAAGGGTTAATGACCCGCACCGAGGTGAATATGGTGTGATAAAGCCTTGTCAGTTGCTGTAACCACAGAATAAAGCCACCTCGTTCGCTGCGCTCACTTGGTGGCTTTATGAGGTGGTTATAGCAACTGACAAGGCTTTATCACACCATATTCACCGAGAAAGGGCGGGCCATTAACACTATTATCATATAGCTTACACGATAGCCTATCCAAACTGATGCAGTAAGTGACACAATGTACAATTTAACGTTACCCGTTGCACATGCTGAATAGAACATAGAACATAGTTCCATATGGAGTCACCTGAGGTCACTGGGTAGAGTTCACGTTAACTGGGTCACAGGCAGGGAACAGGTGTTCTTATGGGAGTCACCCGAGGTCATTGGAACACAACTCAAGTTATTTTTGGATTTTTTAGAACTAGAGCCGTGTTCTATTGGGTCACCTGAGGTCATATGCGGGTGATTATTGGATTTGTTTAATGTATGGATTGGGATGAATAAATACCCAATTTTGACTCTATTTGTGACATTACGGCGACATAAGGAATGTGGAATGGAGCCTTCTGATTGGTCAACGTCACCCGGCTATATGATAATACTGTATAAAAAAACACACTATGCGGACCTTTTTTTACATACACCATGCCATAACGTAATGGTGATTACTTCATTAAATTTTTTGTTCCTGCTGGTACATATTGTTGTTGAAGTTTTATGTAGTTAAAACTGTAGAGCTGCCTGATAAAAACTTGAAGTTGACATCTGACCTGACTTCCCTTCCAGGTGACGTACCAACACCTGGTCATGGCGTACTGCCAGCAGGGGGACATAGAGGGGGCCAGGTAGGGACCCTTGAGGAACACCTTATGTTTCAGTTCATTTTGTAGTCGTGGAACAAACTTGACCATTTTTAATTTTATTTCTTAGGTTGAATTGGTATGGCTTGGCTTGGTGCCATTACATTTTACTGGCAACATAGCTGCTTTTGTACATATTTTGCAAACAGTTACAGGTTACGTGCTGTGATCTGGTATTACTGATTGCCTGCTCTAGAAATCTCTTTCACTTCCTTTTCCAGAAAAGTGTTGGAGTTTATGAAGACAAAAGATTTCCCCATCACCGAGTCTGTTTTCAACGCACTCATCACTGGCCATGGTCGGGCAGGGTAGGATCTTACTTTCCTTGTACATGTAGTTAACACATGCTCAGTGCTATATGACACCCTAACTTAAGAGACATAAAGGTTAATCTAATGTTAACCATCCTTAGCAATAGGCTGCTATTTACTAAAGGTGATTGTACCTCATAAAAGTTAATCACAAATCCTAGTGGAACGTCCTTGAAGTAATGTACCCTCAAGACAGTTTAAGTATCTTTTTTGTCTCTATGCCTTCAGATGTGAATGTTAGTTTCTTTAAATTTATTTTCTTTCATTTTCAGGGACATGGAAAATGCAAAGGGGATCCTGGATGTTATGAGGTGAGTCAAAGTAGCTGTACATGTACATGTACATGTTGATAGAAATTAAAGACAGCATTTTTTTTGCATTAGAATGGGTGAAAATGTACATGGAAGGCATGGTGGAACAGGTGGACCTATTTAGAAGTACACCTTTTCAAGGCCACCATGCCGAATAATTAGTGAGGGAAACCGTGACCTCTAACCTGTCAAGGTTCTATTTTGTTTGCCCAACAGAAATACTGGAGTGGAGCCCAGCCTAGACACATACACCGCCCTTCTGTGTGCCTTTGCTGAACACGGGGACATACAGGCCATTGAAGAGGTACGTCTCAACCTAAACATGTTATTTTATCATTGAATCTCTTAGAAAAAATTCTGCAGTTCATATTTAATTGCTTGGGGTGTGTAGGTATAGAACTAAAAATACTATGATGTTTTTTTTTTAGTATAGATTTTGTTGTGTCCCATGTACAGTTTATATCTGAGCTTGAGAAGACAGAGGTTAGTCTGATGGACAGTGACTACCTTCAGCTGGTGTACAGTCTGGCCACACACGGACACACACAGCACATCCAGAAGGTGAGTCATCTATCTATTCATCTACCTATCTATCTGTCTATCTGTCTGTCTGTCTGTCTGTCTGTCTGTCGGTCCATCCATCTATCCTTCTATCTTACAAATAACTTGCAAACATAATTCTGAATTGTGTTGTTCTTACATCGATTCAACATATAATAGGCCACACCTGATCTAAAAGGGTTCTAGAATGGCGTTCTATTGGAAATGTCCCCCTGTGATGTAAGCAGTTAATGCAGTCCATGAAAGGTAAACTGGTGTATTAACAAGAATGGATCATACTAAAAGTATTTAGACCATTGCCATTGGTTTAAAAAAACGATCATAAAAATCCACCTACACCTTCATTATATATAAAACCCAGTACATGGATGGGTGCAGGTTTGGTGCAGGTAGACGTAAGAAATACCTGCATAGCTCTACTTTTACCTGCGCTAAAGTGCAACTGCATGCCCGTTATGCCCACTCTCGCTTTTGCATTTTGTCGTAGTTTCTAGAGAAGATCCGTCACGACCAGGGGTACGTCCAGGACGCCATCACGACCGTGTCTCAGCTGATCATCGCGGAGTGTGATGATGCAGCGTTCTCAGTGTTCCTGACCCTACCCCCCGTGGTGACAGCTGGGGAGGAGGACAGTACAGGGGACCCCAACAATGGCTACTTCTTCATCAGGAACATGGTGTATCACCAGAGGGTAGGCAGGCAGCTTCTCTTTGTCTTTATAATGTTTTCATTCAGTCATCTTTTCATCTGTCCACCATGGAATTTGAAATATTACAAAAAGGCATCCTCTCCTCTCTATCTCTATAAATAGTTTCATCCTAAATGGTCGATCAAGTATTATGATAAGAGTGTTTTATATATATGCAACCAAGGAAAAATCACCTGCTTAACGTTACAGTTATTTTGCTGTTTTTCCTTTCTCCCTGTTATTCTTTCTTTTGCTTTCTTCATTCTACCAATCTTTCTTTTTCCACTCTCCAAATCATTCATCCCTTTATTAATTCATTTCATGCTTATTTCCCTACCACTAGACATAACAGATGTCATGATATGTCCATACAAACCATTCAGTAAATGTTCTCTTGATAATTTGTTCTTGAGAGGAAGCAAAGATATTGGCACAGATCCTAACAGTCCATTTCGTGCCTCCCTCCCCCCAGCCGATTGACACCCTAGTGAAGTACTGTGACCAGCTCCTGGAGCAAGGCATTCACACTGTCCCCCTGCAGTTTGCACTGAAATGTGCACTGGAAGATAACAATGCTGGTTAGTCACATACAGATCATTGAAATGTGTTCCAATTTTTTTTTCTTAACTGATACATTGGAGAGGGTTCATGTATATTGTACACAGTGTAAAGCTTAACCAAGCTACAGTACTGTAGTAGACAATGTAATTACATGTAGTACAAAACATGTAACTTACTAAACACTGGATGTCCTAATTATAAGTATATTTGATCCTATAATGATTTCAACTGGAAGTACTAACATGACTTGACTTTGTAAGGAATCCATTATCTGTATATTTGACATACTTTCTTTTGTGTACAGAATATGCTTACAGCATCGTGAAAGTCCTGAAAGAGAAAGTAAGTCTTGCATATACTTTCACTTTCTAATTTGAATTGACAGTGATGATATAAAGTGATACTTTGCTTTTCTTAGTGAAAGATTTCTTGATGTTGTTAACCTTTAAAAAAGGATTAATGTGTTGATTTGTGATATTGTTTATGCCCAGAACCTGCCAGTTAGAGCCCACTTCTTCTGGCCTCTCCTGGCTTCATGTCATCTGGACTCAGATATCGAAGGTGAGGCTATCAGAGGGGTTTCACAATATCCTCACTGTTCTTTGTCAATGAAATGAATGCAGCACGTAAAAAGCTTCATAGTACAAATTTACTCTATAGAATTGTGCTGCTATGCATGCTTTGGATAATTTGTGTTAGCTACATTTTGTACAGTACTGTAGGCTTTGACATTTTGTCTGTGATTTTAAGTTTCAGAGCCACGGGCTTAAATGAATTTTGCAGTGCCATGTTTGTAGAGTAAGTAAAATTAACTTGATGACAGCCAATCAACTGTCTCTGTCTACAGGAGTAACAGGGATCCTGAGAACCATGCAGGAACTGGAGGCTTCACCAGATGCAGACACGTAAGTCTTGTCAGGCCAAGTCAAGTACAATCAAATTTTTGTTTAAAGTTAAAACTTAAGATCCAACACAAAAAGTTCTTTCACCTAGACCTTTCGACCAGTCACTTTGGTCTTCCTCAGAAGACTGACCAAGTGAGGCTTGTCACGTGATTTCTTTGAAGTGTGACATCAACACTAGGTCAAAGGTATGGTAGATGATGTCGACCCCCGTCACGGTTAAGTGAAGGGTGATGGTCCCTGATGTAAATAGCTTCCTTCACCCCTCTCAGGAAATAGTCTAACTTGGTCAGTGCTCCTACCAACACAGTACAGTAAAATTTGTTCATATTTTTTTTTACGTTGTAATATTACTATAGGATCGTCTCGAAAGATCTTGAGATCTATGTGATATTGTCAAAGATGATGTGAATTTTGGAATTTTTGTGTTCTTGAATTTGCAGACTCTGAAAATTGTCACACCTCAAGATACTGCAAACTCTTGATTTTCACTGTTCCACACAATTCATTTACTATGAACTCAAATGAAGTTACAGTATCACAATACAAGAATGTACATGTAGTGAATAAGTTTCTTTTGTTCCCTTCTAGTTATTCCAAATACCTGGTCCCTCTTGTTAGTGGGTCTACAGATATGTTGGCCAAATTCCAAGTAAGTCACACATTTTACAATTTAGCATTTGTTTGAAGATTTCTGTGATAGTTCAAGTTTCTTACAGCTGATTCAATTCCAAATGACAACAATGGTACAGCATGTGAGACTATTTTTTTTTCATCATGTATGTTGACAGGAACTTGGCTTGAATCTGGGGCCGGAAGAAATTCTGGCACTATTGCGATGGGAAATACAAAACAACCGACTTGATGTGGCATGTACACTGTGTAAGTATCTAGACTAAAATTAAGACATTAAATGAATGCGAATTTCAAAATGGAAACAAGGTAAAAGTATAGTAAATGTCAAAGTGTAAATGTTAAGTTTATCTTGTGCAAATTTTGGCCGAAAGTAAGACAGTGAAAGTAAAAAGTAAATGTAATGGACAATCTTTTTTCTAATTAGGCCATGTTGATTTGATTATATGGATGACATCCTCCGGGAGCCCCAAAACTGATGCGCGCGTGCGAATAAAAAAAAATTTTGCAAAAAAAAAAAAGTTGTTTTAATTATGAAATCTACGTGGTCATGAGGGTTGAACAAATGGCACAGAATATGGTTTGGCGAATAATCTAGTCTTCAAGTTCATTTCTTTACAATTTCGTCTTGTTTCGTTTGATTTTGGCATTCTACGACATTGGTATAGTTTTTATTAATTTTTTTTGTAACTTATGGTATATTTTTGCTCATTTTGCAACTGTTTTGTACGATTTACAGTATGGTTGAAAACTTTTTTTTTTTTTGGAAACGGCCGAAAATTCATGCGCGCGCGGATGTCATCCATATAATCAAATCAACATGGTCTTAGGTTAGTTGTCAATGAGTAGAAATTTAGGTCTAAGAATTATACTTTTGAAAGGGTATCTCTTATTTATCTGAACTTAAGAACTGATACATAATATATGTCTGGCCACTGTGGCTATATGCAAACCTTTAAGGTGCTAGACTTACATGTGGTTAACAGACTCTAGTTATCCAAACCTCTGGTGTAGAAATTATGTCTAAACTGAAGGTACTAGAACTGAACCTGAGATAGACTAACCCGTTAATTTGTTTTTCAATGCCCCTGACAGTGAAGCAGAACAGTGGAGAGAACATCATGTTTGAAGCCTACAAGATGTCTCTAGTGGATGCCTTCATCAGCAAACAACAAGACCCTGAGGCATTCGCAGAGGTAGCAAAAAGCTGCTGTCCTGTATTGTACAATTAATGTAGACAGTATTGCATTTCTTCAAAATTAATAGTTGATACATGTAGTTGGTGACATGAGTATATGGAAGTTTCCCAATCTAGCACAAATTTGCACATACATAAATAGAGAGAGGTCTTTTTGTTCTAATTTTTGCATAATATTTTGCTGGCTTGTAATAGAACTAAAACATGATTTACCATTATTGCATTACTGTACCTTCTTGTTTGCATAGCTATAAGTTCTCAGTTTATCACTCATTATAAAAGTGTTATCTACGCCATTCTCTCTCCAGAAGAAACAGAAATGTCTGTGGTCTTGTGGTAGTCCTGATGGATGCTCCTTTTTTTCTGTTGCAGCTGCTGAGCATTGTCTACAAGTCTCAGCAATTAGGAAGGACCGAAGAAAATGGTAGGTCTTATGTAAAAAAACAAATGTACACCCAGTTACTTGTGTGGTGTTTTTAGTTTTCTTACTTCATACTTACCAAAATCGAATTGTTCAAACATATTATGACATCCAAGCGCTATGATATAAATGAAAAACTATGTAAATTTGTTCATACATGTTTCAAAAAGAGAGAAGAGATCCTGTAGTTAGATCCTGTAGATAGAGACGTACAAATGTACCACAAACATGTAATAATTGCTTATTCTTGTACCCAAGTTATTTAACTCAAGTGCATTTGGCCCATGTAGGGCATGAATATGGAATAAAGTTCATTTTCATTGTCATTGTCATTAAATTCTATCTATGCCCCCCCCCCCATATCTTAGACCCAGTTGGCTATTTCTTGTACAACTTGCTGGAGGAGATGCAAATGCAAGGAGGAATGGCCAAACGCAGGGAGGAGACCTTCCTCAAACTGTTGGACAGTCTCAAGAATAAAGTAAGGGCTCGCAAACCGTGATTGTAGTCACCTGATGAACACCTGTTTGTAGTACACGTGTACCTTAGACTTGTGCTAGGTGGTGCTTTTTGCTGTCTAAAGTCAACTAATGTAAAGTATGCATCTCAAACAGGATTTTTTTCTTTTCAACTTTAGGGTGTACAAATTCCAGTCAACATTGTGAAGGGAATGGACAAGTTGATCAAGAGAATCAACTACAGCCCAAATGTATTTCAGGTAAATAAGTTCAGTCTTTCTCTTTTGTCCACTGTACATGTATGGTTAATACTTTTATGATATTCATTGAAAAGGGAAAAGGGTTGAATGTACTATGTACTCAAAGCATGCCTTCGTATGCCATGTACAAGGATACATGTTTGCAGTACTTTCAAGTTCTGCTAGGTGGTGCACTTTGCAGTAAAGTGATGTTTTCTCTGATAGGCTGCTGTAGCCTTGGCTGACGCTCCACTAAGAGACCGTTGGCAACCAGATGAAGGCATGTTCCAGCCGGATGAAGAGGGCGAGGTGCAGGTAGGATGAGAGATGGATTTTTACATTTAGTACAGTCAAACCTGTCTGTAGTAACCACTCAAGCGGCTCAATGCTTGGGTCAATGGGAACAGTAGTCTTTGAGACCACCAAAGAAAGTCACAATGGCCAGTTGTTCCTTATGCAAATTTAGTTTTACTTTACATCTAGTACTGGATGTTGATCTCACACCTCATGTAGATCTTACACAAATGTACAAGTTTACAAAAATGTAAGTTGATGAGGTATCCATTCCTTCCATTCCTATGGCTACATGTAGTTTTATCTGTATCTGTATAGCCGGTATAACCGCCCTTAGGTGTAACACACCAGCTCCTCATACTCCAAATATCTAGTTGTGCTAGTAGTTTTTTTTTGTTATCCAAGAAATTGGTAAAAAAAATTTTTTTTGTTGTGAATTGTTTGTGTGCAGTTAAATATGATGGAGCCGGAGAGTATTGACCACATCGAGTCACAGCTGCGCATGGCTCGGACCAAGGGTCTGACCCGGAGGGCCGTGCACCTCATGCGCATGCTGGTCAAGGCCAACTGTCTCCAGGAGGTAAGCCCAGGTTTCTTCAGCTGGAACAGTTAGCATTGGCCCTTCTGTGGGTTCAGACATGCACTATTTTTTTTGGCAACACCTCAGCTCTCAGTTTGGTTACACTTCTAACATCATCAGCTGTACTCTTTAGAGTTTTCTCTTTCAAACCTAACTAAAGCTTGATCTCCAATACACCTTTCACATCTTCTTCATGAATTATACATTTTTAAGTTTCAGTCAGTTCCTTTAAAAAGAGTGGTTAGAGTAGAGGGTTGCCTATTCTTTTGCCTTCTTCTTGATACAACCTGGCCATGAAACAATTGTACAATAGCCTTTTTTTATTCTTTTGAAGTTCTATAGATACATATCTCCAATATTTTTTTTCACTGTAATCAGAACAATTTTTCTGCAGAGAGGATTGAATCTGCTAGGAGGCACTGCTGCATGTACATAATGTAAATGCTTTTTTTTCCTGACCAGAATGTGGAGAGAGCTGTGGAGCTGAAGAAGGAGGTGGAGTCCCTGGGAGAAGTCCTGTACGCCACCAATTATCCCTCACTCATAGAAGCCCTGTGTAAGGAGAGGAAAGTACAGGAGGCATGGGATGCAAACCAGGAACTGTGAGTATTAAATCTTGAAACATTTATCTCGAGTGAGAAGATCATTAACCATCTTTAAATTAATGTGCAGAGGATGTTTCCTATTTGTGACACCTTTGGGGTTGAGCATTTCATGGTCATTCAGATGTATAGAGTAAGATGCAAACTTACTTGTAGCTTCTACTTTTAAATCAAATTAGTTAACTTTACTTTCTTCAACAAGAAGTCACAGTGCCCTTAATGTGTATATTAGTGATGGTTGAAAGGTGCCTGTATTGTACGTATCACTAAGTGAGTACATTCTGTGCTACTAGGGTGTAGCAGTTATGCTTTTCCCTTTCAATTGCTATCTTTTACTTTAAGAATGCTTAACACGTGACGATTGGCCTTTTCCAAGAAAATTCCCTTGAATGTCATTGTCTCTGTGAGTGATGTTCAGATGGCCATAGCCTTTTCCTTCGGTGATGAACTCCTTTTCTGATTTGCAGTATTAGCAATTAAGAGATCTGAATATTATTTGTATATGTTTAAATCAATGAAAGAGCATCATAATATATTACATTATCTTACATGTACATTATGTACTGTAGCAGAAATATGGAATACAACTGTGGTATCACATACAGCACAATTCAGCGGTCCATAATTTTTTTTCATGTACTGCTGCTACATGTATGCTGACCACTATTTGAATAAAGAATGCTGTACAACCAAGGTACAGAAGGTCGAGACCAATTTTTGTCACTCGTGACTGTGAGTGAAGCATCTGTTTTGGAGCATTTTTGGATGCTCCCTTTCTGCATGTTTGATGGTCCACTGATAGTTGCAGAAAGCTCTGCATGACAACAATGGATATAAGATAAGCCTCCAATTCAATGTTTACACGGTAAAGAACAAAAGAAACAAACTCAGTCATTCGTTATACTATAATAAATCATGATGTTGTTGCGCCAAAAAGCAGTTACTCAAGCAACTGGATATGATTTTGAAAACGTCAGACGTTTCAGCTAGTATCCACTAGCTTTCGTCAGTGACTGAGAAAGTGACTAGTGGATACTAGCTGAAACGTCTGACGTTTTCAAAATCATATCCAGTTGCTTGAGTAACTGCTTTTTGGCGTATCGTATTACCTGGATGTCTAACCTTCATCGATGCATGATGTTGTTGTATGTGGTAAATGAGCTGTGTAAACAAGGAGCCTGTAGCAACACTATGAATTATTCATAGGTGAAGGCTTACGTCACAACCTTGGAATGTAGAGGGGAACAAAATGGCAGCGGCACCATTAGGTTTGGTGGGACAGATCCGTGAAGAACTGTCCTGCAGCATCTGTCTGGAGCTGTTCACCAGGCCCAAGGTGCTGCCCTGTCAGCACATCTTCTGTCAGGACTGCTTACAGGACCATGCAGGGAGGGGAGAGCCCTTCCAGTGCCCAAACTGTCGGCGGCAGATCAAGCTGCCACCTCAGGGTGTTGCCAGTTTTCCTGATAACCACCTAGTTTCAAGTCTGTGTGCCAGACTTCAGGGGCAGGCAACAGTGTCAGGGGAACTATTCCAGCCTGGAAACAGGTGCAACTTTCATCCCTGTGAGCTTCAACTCTACTGTATGCAGTGCCAGATTCCAGTTTGTAATGAGTGTTTTGAAGAAGGACATGAAGGACATCCTACCACAAGCCTTAAAAAAGCCTCACAAGAGAAGAGATCTACAAACCAGGGCTTTATAAATGAGGGGAGAAACAGCTTAGAGATGTACTGTAGCTACATCAGGAGTCTGAGGAAAAGAGAGAATACTCTGAATGAGCAGAAAAAGCAGATAGACAACAGCATTATTCAGGCCTACAACCAAATGGTGCTGAAACTTACTGAGAGAAAAGACCATCTTTTGTCTGAAGCTGAACAAAGTCACAGGGAGAACTTAGACCGGTTACAAAATGGAAGAGACAAAGTTTTGTCAGACATTGGGGCACTTTCTGCTGCCTGTGATCAGGCTGAGCAAGAAATGAAGCAGGAAGGGATGGGATTTCTCAGCCAGGAAACTGTTTTAGTTGTTGGAAAGTACAGAGGAAAAGTAGCACCAACTCCTGTACAAACCCAGCCTGCTGTGTTTGAGCCCATAGACACCCCAGTGCCAGTATTGGGACATGTAACTGTCCCGTCTCTCTTATCCGCACCCATGCCATCAGCTGCACCTGCATCTAGTGATGTTCCAACGAGGGGCACAGGACATCATCATGGTAACCAAAGGCAGGGGGGACATCCATATCATAGGGTGACATTTGGTGGACAAGGACTTGAAACAGGGGAGTTTGAAAGTGGAGGTGCTCCACTTTCACTTGCAGTCGCTGTGTCAGATGAAGGGGAGGTCTATATAGCAGACACTGGAAACCACAGGATCCAAGTCTTCACCTTGCAGGGAACATTTGTTCGACAGTTCCCAACAGAGGACGGTAAACAGGAGATGAAACCACATGGAGTGGCCATGGATGGGGAGGGGAACCTGTGGGTGATGGGTTTTGTTTGTGATGATGTGACCCGGAGGTTGATGTACATTGTTGTGCAGTACACAAAAGAGGGCAGGGTGCTGAGGAAGTTCCAACCAGTGAACTACGCTTCTCAAGTCGCAGTGAACACCAGAAGGAATCACGTCCTATGTTTGTGTCACAGTCAGGATGTGGAGGTGTACAAACCAAATGGGACTCTATTAAGAACCATAGGTTTGCAGAAAGTGGTTCAAGAACGGATGACTCGCCAAACCCAGCTGCAGGGGACCAAAAGTCAAGAACCAAAGTCCTATGGAAATTGTCAGTGTTTAACTGTGGACCAGGAAGGAAACATTCTGGTTTCACACAGTGAAAGCTGTGGTGTTTTTGTGTTCAACGAGGATGGAGAGTTTCTGTTCCATTTCGGAGGTAAGGGAAGTGGTGAAGGAGAGATGAAGGGTCCCCGTGGCATCTGTACGGACAGTTCAGGCAACATCATTGTAGCAGACTCATACAATAGACGTGTGGAGATGTTTGACAAGACAGGCAGTTTTGTCAAACACATCACTACGGACATGACATGGCCAGCTGCTGTAGCCATGGCCAGGCAAGGACACCTGGTGGTGACTGACAAGAGAAAGCACACTGTCAACATATTTTCCAACTTCTAGATTCTTTTAATAAAAAATCAAATGTTGACTCTTGGTTGCTTTGTCAACAATACAGTTTTACCAAAAATGACATGACATTGCACATAACAGTAACTTACTGTAAGCTATACGATCGTTGAGATCATTATCTCTTGTTAATTTCAATCTGTGTTATACATGTATATATATTCTGGCTAGTTGTTATGCTATGACATGGGATGTTTTGGTAGTAAACTCTTTTGAATATTTCGTCTGTAAACTTATTTTAACTTTGAAGACTGACCATTTCTTAGCATATTTTTTTCATCAAATGAATATATATGCAAGCATTTGAAACAGCCCCAAAACAAGCTGCGTGAAGCGTCTCTTTATTTTTTGGGTACCTTCCATAAATAGCTAGAACCAGCCTACAATACAAAACAAGCCAACATTGCATCTTTGCCCTACATATTACAATATGCTATGGAATAGGATTGATTCAAGCTACATGTATACATATTTGCAGAAGCTACAAGTTTGTCAAACTTTGCTTTTGAATCTGTACATATTGTTGTGTTGTGCTGTATTGTTTCTTGTGTATCAAAGGATTTAATTTTTCCAACTTAAGATAGAGTGTGTATGACACAAATCTGCATAATACTTGAGTAATACTGTCAACTTAACATCTGACTGTGCTTACTAAAAACTGTACAATAATGATGATTTTCAAATGTTGTTTCAAATGTGTGTCTTTGAGAATAAAACTGAAAATAATTTGAATGCTGTGAATTGATTTCCATTTCATACAATGTACTATATTTTGTTAATTAAACCTATCAAGTATGAAGTTCAGCAGCACCTAAAGGCTTAAACATATTCATATTCACTAAAGAGTCATACACTGAATAGGAGACTTTGCAAACAATAATCATATTAATGTAAATCACCTAATTTGTATGATACGAGTTATTTATCATCATATAAAATGCTCATTCCTACTTGACGTTCACATCACAAATTTGAAATCTGTATTATTTACCAATGACTTTGCAAAGCCTTTGTAGATATGCTAAGTAGTCTTATAAGCTTAATGCTCTTATTCAGGAAGTTACACGCATGTAGCCTTTGTTCATTGATTATGCATTATGATATCTATTTACATGATTTATGTGTCATGATTTTCATCATTACCTATCCTACATTTGTCTTTTGTATGAATGTCCCATCATTTACTACCAACTAAAGGTAATTTACAACTTTCTCTAACCATGTTACATGATATTATGTAACGAATCTGATCCTGTCAGTTAGCACGATTGAACTCTCTCTCTCTATCCAGTTTATCGTCTGTTGCTCCCCATGCTCTGACAGTTAGACATGCTTACACTCTGATGCTGGGGATTGAACTACTGTTACATGTAGTATAAATTAGCCTTGTGAGGAAAACTTATACAGTAGGCTCATACAATCTGATAATGTCTTTCTGTTTCTGTCCTTGCAGTAACCGTAACTACCCCAGCTTTGTCATGGATGGGTGGAAGTACTGCTGTCTGGTCCAGTTGCTGGCTGAGGAGGGACAGCTACAGGGTTAGTGTGACTGAAGGAACAGCTACTGTCACGGCTGCTACTGTGCATTGTGCTGTCAGAAATCACAAGTACAAAACCTGGATGGTTATGATTAACACAATAGATCATTGTACAAAATGTAAATGGTTTGCTCTTAAACTAGTGTCATAGGGCCATCAGCTATCTCCTTTCTCATAATATACATATCAAGGTTTGAAATACTGGGAGTATAATGCATTTTTTGCGTCCAAAATTGGAGCTGTGCACCTAATTTTACAGTGTACCATAATTGTACAGTCACCAATATTCAGCATATTCTTGACATTAAATTCCAGAGAAAATGATAAAACCTTTCAGGCCTCTTGTTTTACTAACAATTTACCATTTCACTGACATTGTACTTAATGATTTTCTTGTGCATCTAAAATGTCTAAGTTAGGTGCACAAGTGCACCTGTTTGCGCAGATGAATTTCGAGTCCTGCATGTACTGTTCAAAGTAAGGTTAACACGTCTTTATACATCATCTGACTAGACCTACTACTATAGCAGAATGGATGACCCTACAAACAGCACTTCAAGTTTAACATTACTCAATGATTTTTTCTTGCCCGCCCTCCAGACGCCCTGAACACCCTGGATGAGATGAAGTCCAAGGGCATCATGTCGGACTTCCGTCTCCAGAACAACTTCTTCCAGGTGCTGCACAGCCTGGCGGAGAGAGGGGACCTGGAGTCCACCAGGGCACTGTTTGATAAGGCCATGGAGCTGGGACTGGTCAGGCCGACCAACAACCTGGCCTCCCACCTCGTCACTCCTTATCTGTTAAAGTAAGGACTCAGGTTTAGTTTTTAGATAACAACTTAATGTCCTCTGTTGGAATTATTCTGAAAAATACATCTTCCACGTCATCAGATACTGTTGATGAAAGTTAAGTATACAGGTAATAAGATCTTACCAATTTGAAAGTAACATTTACTCAAGGAACTGGAGAGATTTTTAGGAACAGTCAAACGTTTCAGGTAGCATGTACTATCCTACATTACTGAGGCAAGTAGTTGTTGCTACTTGAAACATTTTACTGACACTTTTTAAAATCTATCCCTTTGCTTGAGTAACTGTTACTTTGGCATCAGATACTACTTTTTCTCAAGTTAAGTTCTTCTAATTCAAAATAGCCACTTCATGTCTGGACTTGATGAAGTTGATCTCCAGAAATGATGTTGTACAGGTACGGTATTTTACTTACAAAAATGTGAGGAAACACACAATACTACCTCCATTTAGTCCAGTCAATGATCAACCTGTGTACAATGTAGTGACATGCATTTTTCATATGATGACAGTTACCGTATAAAACCAGACGGCATGGTACAACCTTGATTCACATACCTCCTGTTCTTTCCCATTGAAGAGATGACTTGGAGGGTGCGTGGAATGCGATTAAGGACTGTGAGGAGAAGTACCGCATCATGCCGCGGCTCCACGACCTGCTGTGTGCCTACATTGAGAAGGGAGACACAGACAGCCTGCAAACTGGTAGGACAACAAAAATCACAAGTCCCTCCTTTAAACATGAGGATACTGTGGTCGTACTTAATGCTGTTTTGTAGGTAGACAATCAGCACGTTAAAGGTCAATGTAAAAACAAGGCATGGTACTGAAACACTATCAGCAGTACCAGTGCACTTTTCTTTGTACTGAAACAGCATCAGCAGTAGTACCAATGCAATTTTATTGTTCTGGAACACCATCTGCTGTACCAATGCACTTTTCGTGGTACTGAGACACTATCAGCATTACCAGTGCACTCTTTGTGGTACTGAAACACCATCAGAAGTGCCAATGTACTTTTCATTGTACTGGAACACCATCTGCTGTACCAATGCACTTTTTGTGGTACTGAAACACCATCAGCAGTACCAGTGCACTTTTCATGGTACTGAAACACTGTCTGCTGAACCAAAGCACTTTTCATGGTACTGAAACACCATCAGCAGTACCAGTGCACTTTTCATGGCACTGAAACACCATCAGTTGTACCAAAGCAATTTTCATGGTTCTGGAACACCATCTGCTGTACCAATGCACTTTTCATGGTACTGAAAGACCATCAGCAGTAACAGTGCACTTTTCATGGTACTGAACCATTATTCAGCAGTACTCATGCACTTTTCATGGCACTGAAACACCATCAACATTAACATTACAGTTTTTCAGACTGAAACATTATCAGGCTTATGTGGTTCTGTGTGTGATTTATGAGTGATGATTTGTTTATTTTCCAGCTATGGACTACATCAGTAACAGTAAGGGGGAGATGAACATGCTCTATGACCTGGTGTTTGCATTCCTCTCCAAGGGCAAGTATAAGGAGGCCAGGAAGATCATTGAGGTAGGAACACTATAAGACAATTTGTGCAAAAATCTGAATAAGATGTATTTATTTGAACCCATGTTAAAGGTTGTATATCTGCCTTTTAGCTGGTTTAAAGAATTATGCAGAAGATGAAGTACTTTGATACTGTTTTTTCCAATTGTTGAATTATAGATACACTAGAGACATTTCTGCAATGTACATTTCTACATGTAGTGAATCGCAACAAAATGCCACATGTTTAACTGCTAAATCTTTAATTGATATTATGCAAAGGAACAGCAAAGAAGCCTCAATTGTTGGTTATCTGAATGTGTAGAGAATATAGCAGGTTCAGCCTGGTAACACTTAAATGTTATTCTTCAGACTCCAGGGATGAGAGCCTTGGACACCAGACTGAACTGGTTTGCAAACCTGTGCATACAGAACGACATGGTGAGAAGCTGTTACTAAGTTAGGATTGTTCTTGGACATTAGTGTCTTTTTGACTCATGAATATGATGTTGACGTGTGAACTTCTGTATAATCATACATTGCTTTGTGTAGTTTTTACTGCCTGTTTCATTCACCAACGTCTTGTACTAAAAGGTCAATTTTTACTTTCATATATATTTGTTAGAATAGATTACATGTATGTAGCAAGCTGGAAGGATGAAGTGGACAGACTGGTCACCATGTATATGAATGTGTTTAAGCAAGGAGGTTTTTCACCTCCTCAGTTTGAGTTGTATTTAAATAAGCAGAGCAGTAGTTTGCTTTCTTTGCAAATGTTTCCCTTCTATAATAATTGATATTTGCTTTTGCTGCCATTTCTTGACAGGGGGAAGCCCTTGAACAGTTGGTTATTCAGACCAAGAAACTGTTTGGTTGTGATCGGGACCTGATGTACACATACCTGCTACAGTACTACGGTGAGTCTGGTACTGTACATTGTAATATGCTTAATGTTTGATTAATGCCATTACAGAGCAACAAACAATTTTATGTATTTAGATGTCTGTATGTCATTACCGAACCCAAGCCATTCCCTGTTATGACAAAACTCCATTGAATAGAGATGCATCTTTTACCTCAGAATTGTCAAGCTACTTTACACTTGTGTTGGAAGCCTAAGGGCATTTACTAACATTTCTAATGTAAAATCTAGTTGGAGGGAAATACAGGACTGTATCACTGTCCTTAGCACCGAGGAACAAAAGTGAGAAGGCTGAGATTTGGTTTCAGTTGATTGACAGCTTTGTGACCCAATATTTATACCCTGGGTGAAAGGATGAGGTACATGTTTGAGGTGGCCAGGAATATGTACTGTGTAGTCATGCTATGAAACATAACTTATTGTCACATTGACTTTTCCCACCCTCAGACCAGCAGCAGACTGGTGAGAAGGCGGCCCATGTGTGGACTATGATGCAGGAAGAGGACCTCCTGCCAGAGGACGGCACCCTACGCTACATCGCAAGTGTCGTACAGAGGAGCGGACAGCCTCTCCCCGCAGACTTCCCTGATTGGATAGCTGCACAACAGGTACACAAGCAACTCTCTGCATGTGTTAGCCAGAAAAAAAGGTACAATGTGGTCCCATAGCCTAGGCTGTATGGGCAGTGGTTGACCACTGTGGCTAGAGCAGGGTATTATTGGAAGGTGGAGAGGACAATATGTTGTTGTTGATTTCTTGATAACAATACAGCTTTTACTGCCAGTATCTACACTTACCAGCAGCACAGGTAAACAGTTTTAAAAAACAGTTGCCATAGTTCTTTCCCTATGGGTAAGTGTAGGATTTACAACACAATGTTATCATGCTTATTTTAGGACTCCAGCACTAGCACCAGCAGTTCTGACAGTAGTTCAGAAAGTGATGACGATGGTGAAAAGAAGCAGGCGGTCTACTGGAAACTGAGAGTCCGAGCTAGACCACGACAAACCCCAGCTCCAGCACAGACACAACAACCAACTCCAGAGGTTCAGACGGCTACCCAGACGCCCCAGGATCCTGCACTCATCGCAGCTATGAAGCAGGCTTTTCTGGACCAAGTAAGTTATCAGCATGTCAGTGGCAGTGTTCCTCTGGTTTAGTTATTTGATCCAGCAACTAGATCATAAAGCAACTCATGATCAAGCTTTGGACTAAAGCTATATGATCTTCCTTAACTTGTGGTGACTTGTTACTTGTTCTAAATCCAGTAAAGGCATAATTTATATGAACTCGTTTCATAGTTGTTTAGTAACTTTTGAATGAGTAACAGTTACCCATTGATAAGCAGCTGGATAGATTTTGGAAATGGTTGGACGTAAAGGTAGCATCCACTTCATTTCGTCAATGGCTCAGTTGATTGAGTAACTGTTAGTTTCAAGTATGATTTTACCTGGATGTCTAACCTTTATGGACATACATAAATTTTTTGAATGATATGTTTAGGATGCAGATGCAGTAAATGCCGCTCTAGCCAAGGCTGAGGCCCAGGGTGTACCTCTCAGTTTTGGTATCATGTCCAAGTGTATCATAACCAACCTAACCAAGGGAAACCTGGAGGAAGCAGAGAACATAAAAAAGAGGTAAAACAAGCTTCTGTTACACAGATATGGATGTTTAAAGAGTTAAAACGTCGAAAACCTAATCAACCTATTGGAACATTGTTGTGGAGTACAAGTTGGACAAAAAATTAGAAAAAAAAACTTACTGCACATCATGGAAATAAGTTTCTTTTAAATGAGTTATGTGAAATCTAAATCTTTTACAGTGGTGCTGCTTTGAAACTACAAAGTACATATATGTGTAAAAACTCTTTCTTGCCTCTTTTCTGTAGAATGTTGGAGAGAGATCCAGGGGTTACCTTCACTTCTGGCAACATCAGAAATAAGTTCATCATCACATATGCACTGAATGGTAGAACACAGGGTATGTTCCAACTTAATTTGTGATACTCTTGTTCTGTTACTGATTTCAAGCATTATTCATTAAATACACAGGTTTCTACATGGCATTGTATTAAATGAATAGACTTTTTGTGTGGAGTCATTCTGTAGAATGATTGTATGTACACATTCCCATGTGCCAACATGTATGATTAAATTATTTGAAGTTGGAAGAGGGCTTAATTTTGCAATTGGAGGTTAAAAGAATCATTCTGTTTTAAGTTTGTGGTTGAAACAATATTGTAGTAAAGACAATGGATGTACATATTTGCAGTGTGATGAGTTTGCTGTGAAAGCTCACTGCAAATATTTCATGGTAACATTGAACTTTCCTCTTGTTACATGTTTCAGTGGTACGCATGCGCACGCATGTATGCACACAGACACACACACACACCCTATATTGTTTACTTTGTATATGATATAGAGCATGATGGAGATTCAAAAAGTAATTCCAATAATGTTTCCTTTGCAGATGCCCTGAAAGTAATGGAAGAGATGGTTTCTGATGGCCTTGCCCCTAACAAGATAGCCGCCAGAACACTAATGTACAACATGGCCTCCAACGGAGATGTGGAAGGGGTCAGGCAGGTGGCACAGCACCTGGAACGGCTGAACACACTGCGAGACTCTGTCCCAGAGTACCTCGTAGACAGTCATCTTTTCAATGCCTACTTGAAGAGGTTAGTCTTTAGGGACTTGTGCCTGTACCAAGCATTCAGCAGAAATGTTTCCAGTTTTTGATAGAAATGGATATGAGTGTTGGGTGAACTATGCAAAGTCGGTACATTATATTTTGCTCTTTTAAAGTTCAAGAAAATTTACTTACTTTATTTGTACTGACTCTTCCCCCCCATGCTACAGTGATCAGGTAGAGGAAGCGTGTAACCTCCTGGAATCCCGCATGTCAGAATCAGAGAGCAGACTGCGGATAGCCGTCCCTCTGAACCAGCTCATACAGGACCAGAAGGACCAAGCTCTGGACAAAGGTTAGATTTGTTTCTGCGGATACTACTGGCAAGCAGTAGGCAGCCCTGCTGTTTTGCCTTATGGATCAAATTCCATGGAACCAAAGGTTGGAGACTGTTTAGGGGTTTTGTTTGTCGTTATACAGTCATGTAGATGGGGGTTAAAAAGCGGTAGTCTTGTACATGTGTATAGGGAAGCTTCGGGTGTTATTGACACTCAGTATCTTTAATTTGTTCCAATGTAGTACAGGTTACCTTTCTTGCTTTATTACAGTGAGTGCCACTGTAGAGAAGGTTGCCAGATTCTTCAACCGGTATGAGCCAGTCGTGGACCTGTTCCTGGCGTACGTGGACCAGAACAAAGTAGAGGAGGCCAGACACCAACTTCAGGTAAACTCTGCATATATCAACTCTTCTTTGTATTGTGTTGCTTTTCATAGACTCACTGCAGTACTTGTGTAACTTGCTAGGAGTCTATTTCAACATTCTACCAAATATTTAACTTACACTACAAATAATCATAGTATTCCATCAATCCACCCGTGGACACGTATGGAATATATTGTTCTGTATTTGTCACTAATTTCCAGTAGCTTTTTCCTGAGTGATTGAATGTTAAAATACAATTTATTTAGAAAGTGATTGGGATGGACTGGAAGAAACATGTGGTGATATTGACAAGTGTAAAACTCATATCTACCACTTTGTTTGAACAGAGATTCCCAGCTATCGAGGAACAGTCAGACATGATCGTGGGCCATGCTGTATTTTGCAGTCAGAGAAAAGATGTGAGTAGGATCCTTCTTGGCATAGAAACATTGGAAAATGTCGAAATTGTAATTTCTTCACAGAAACATTGGAAAATGTCGAAACTGTAATTTCTATACCACGATAAGGCAATGTTTGACAGGTAATGAAATGACCATGACTGCCATGTAGAATATTTATGCACATGCAATGAAAATATGCATTTCTTTACTCAGTGTTGTAGCAAAAATAAAGCTGTTTGCAACTGATGTATGTCATTTGTTGTGAGGGACGATATAATAATTGTAAACAAATACAGTGTGTGTTGGATTTTTTTAAAGTGTGCGCCTGCAAACTGTGAAGTTTTGTTTTCCTGTTACTGATTGAAAGTATTTCCTTTCCTTCATTAGGCGGACGCCATCAACAGACTGATTGACCTTCTGCCGACCTTCAGCAACAGACAGCCCATGTTCTTCTTCCTGCTCAGATGCCACTGTAAGTGTGGCGCAAAAAGACATGTTTGGTGTTCCACAGTTCTATACTTTAATATAGGATGGCAACTTGTGAAGAAATGTTTTTTTTTTGTCCATGTTTTGGGCATAGAATTTCTTTGAAGCAGGTGATGTCAATTATGATGATTAAGAAGTATAATACAGACTGCTGTACATTACCAAATTGACAAATTCTACTACCCTATTGTAATGGTTTGTAGTACCTCGTATCATAACACTATTAATAGGAATTGATTGTTTTGTTGTTTTTCGTCACCCAGATGAAAAAGATGACGTTGATGCCTGTTGGGCGACCTACCAGCGAATGCAGTCTGAGGGCATAGAGCTGGACGAGCTCTCGCAAAAAAGACTGGCAACAATCCTCAAGAAACACGGCAGAGACGCACCATTTGAAGAGCCACCAGTAAGTAAAAAGATATTATGTACGTAATATACATATCTTAATCTTGTACAATTTGAAGTTGTTGCTGTGAAGAATTATATTTTGTTACGTGTTAGTTTTGTAATGATCATCATTGAGCTTTTCTGTTACATAATCATGACTTGCTATTTTTTTTTTGTTACAGGAGAGCTTCAACTTCTACAAAAAGAAGCTGGAACAGATGAGACTCCAAGCTTCAAGCTAGTATATTAGATTACATATAGATATGTAACAGTAAATGGGTAAAATATGAAGTGTTACCATTTAAAGCACTGGTTGCATAATGAGACCAATGACTAACTTCAGAATTATTAACATTATATGTGTAATGAAAGTACATTAAATGTAGTATGACAAAAATATAGACACATGTACATTGTATCAATTCTGTGTTGGTGTTATAACAAGTTTCAGTATGACAGCATTGCCTACATTCTGTAGTGCATATTATAAATAGCAGACTTGCTAGTGAAGGCATTGGATTAATGAATCAGACAGTGACATACAGTGACTAGTTGCGTGAAAGTATTTCTTTTGAGAACATATTTTTTCCTGCTAAGGTTAGTCTGGAATTCTGGCAACTCCCTTGATAAGTCCAGAATGTTCTTGATTGAGAATAAACCAGGTTTCTTTTGTCATATGCCTGAGAATCATTTCTTTGTTACTATAACTTATACGTTGGTAAACCACTCTTAAGTTGCATACATGGTGTCAGTCATGGCAGTTGATTTGCATGTCTTTTCTGTAACATCAAATAATGGTCTGTAACACAATAAATTATTCAGCCACTGATTTATCATGTTGCATTTCTATCTATAAACATCTGACAATGGCTTTACCTATCTAAAATGCCACATTGTCAAGCACTCAAGCAATGTGTCCTTTGAGTTCCAATTTTGATTGTCTTAAGTATATTTTCTTACAAATTTAGCAGGTATTCCCTACACAACTCTTGGTAATACTCCAAGGGTTTAATTTGAACAGAAGGGTCCTTTGCTGCCTCGTCCCAGCCCCTCATCCGTAACATGGCCTGGAACTGTGGCGACTTCTCAAACTCTGCAGCCTCCTGTCCTGTCATGGGGCCTCCCTGGTGCACCAGGGTCCCCTTACTGGCACTGGACAGTTCTAAGATTCAGCAAAAAATTGGGTCAAAATAGAAATAATCTGGAATATGCCAACATTGACATCTGTAGTCTATCTTTAAAATTACTTTCTTTATAAAAAATTGCCCTGTGCAATCACATAATTCTTTACATATCTCAAACATCACAACTATAACATTTAGTTACTTTGATAATGTCATTGTGGGACAGTTTGTATCATTGATAGATACAATTGAGAGAAATGCCCTTTTGTTTCATAACGTATGAAACAAGGAGAGTTAAAAAAAAATTATACCAACTTGCCTAAACCACACCACTTGCCAACTTCAATATACAGGTATGTTCTTGAACTGTTGAAAGCAATGTGCACTTACATGTAGACGAGTAGTTTTTCTTTCCCACTGGTCAAAAAATGCTTTGTCTATAAAACTCTTATCTTTAGAACACATGTAACAGAAAATCTATTAACTGAAACAAACAGCACATACGGTCATAGTACGTAGGCTCCTTGTACACACGGTAGCGTTTGGCATTGACATGGCCTCTAACAAAGTCTGTGACAGCAGCAGGAAAACCCAGCTCCTTCAGGAAGGTCTGCCCAATTCTCTCATGATGTTGGACACCCAACTGTCCCATCCTCTCCAGGTTCCTCTCCATGCCAACCAAGTGCCCGATGTCATGCAAGAGGGCACCCAGGATCACCTAACAAGTGTAAGAAAACTGATCAGATAGTTGGTGTGTTACCCGAAGGGGTATATACTAGTACTGGCTAGTATATGATATAGATACAGATACATATTCAGAATCCTCTTTATTTCTTATGACATTAACTTTATAGTAATATCAAAGCAGAAGTACCGATCAGGCTTGTTTTGTGGATCTTTTGTGACCTTTTCTCTGTAGTGATGTACATTTTTCTGATCCATCCCTCTTGAGTCCACAAAAGTAGTCCAGTTAATACATTTGGTAGAAGATCAACTGTACATCTTGATGAAGGCATAAAACCTAATATGGGACCTCTAGGAAATGAAAATGGAAATCATAAACAACCTTTGAAGAATTGTTGACAAAAATGAAAGGTGGCATAGCAGAAGAAAAACATTTTGTAAGAACTTGTCATGACTTTCAATGTTAAAAAAAGGATAGTGATGATATAATTGAAGAAAAGAGATAATTTTTTTTTGGCAAATACCAGATCCTTCACATGTGAATGAAATATGACCCCAAAAAAGTTATGGTTATCAGCAAGCACATGTTGTGGCACATCGTCAATGAACATGATTTCCCTCCCAACATCTGCTTGGATATCGGTTTATATCAAGGAGTCCGGACTCCCATTCAGTGCCATACCTCCGGCGGGAACCCCTCCTGTTCTGCCAGCATGGCACACTGCACCATGTGCTGTGTTTGAGACACGTCCTCGCCGATGTAGTCGGACTGTCCATGCTTCTGATACAAGGAGAACACAGCTTCTAGTTTCGTCTCCACGTCGGAGCCAGACATTTTGCTAAAGAGACAATTTCCAGTGTACAGTTAGTGCAAGAGTGGGTATGCAAGAGTGAGTAGTTGTGGTTTTAAAGGTATAACTATGTGACAAATGTTTGAGTATGACGCTGTAAACAATCCTCAGTTCAACTATTTTAGGCTAAACGCACCACGACACAATTTGTCAAATCATCATGGACTCTTTGCGACTTTGAGGTAAATCATGAATCACCTGGTTTTGACAGTCTATTTATTTATTTACAGTCTGCCCGGAATACGTATATTAATTCGTAGACCTTTGCCCTACACCATCAACACGCAAGCTGCATCCAAACTGCGAAGTCTAGTTGACAAAATGCGCCCGAAAATAAGAAATAACGGTGCGGTACCGTTACCTCACCTGACCTGACCGTCGTCTGCTGTGTGACCTTTGGCCTAATTCAAAATGGCGGTTTCGGCGCATGCGCTCTAGGTCATATCCATAGAAACAAGAAACTTTGCCAGATTTCAATCACAGACACGTCTGGCGTTCGATTTGGGCGCTTTTTGTGCCGTTTTCTGCATCTGGGAAGTAAGATTTCTTTCCACACGTGCAGGTAAGGTAGGGAGGTTGCTTATGTCGTTTGTGTTGTGGACTTTCTGCTTTGTTTGAGGGTAGAAGTGGAAGTAACGTACGTAAACAACAAGGGAATGGGAGATTCCAAGACAACTCGGAGGGGGGGGGGGTTCTAAAGAGTTGTTGCAAACCGCCAACCATTAAAGTTCCAATTAAACGTTACAGTGAGCCATACGTCGTATGTATAACTGATGGAAACTAAACTAAAATTCTACGTTATAAAATGCAGTTACAGCTTTTTTATAACTGCAGTAAAAAAATATGATAATTTTGGTGATCATGTGTAAATACTTCTTTCGAGCTGTTATGCAAAATTGTTGACGTTTGTTTCATGAATAATTTACGTTCCAGAAACTGCATAGTTGGTGAAACATGGCAGACCTGGACGATGGAAGGCAGGTCCGACCAACGGAAACTATCAACATCACCGTCCTCAGGTCTCGTCACCTGGTCAGTCTACACACTGTGCTTATTTCATCTTTAATAGTGCTTTACTTAAATATAATATAATATATGATGTATTAGACTACAAGCAAAAGAAGCCCACCAACAGCCACCACAGCTAACTGTTAGCTAGAGGGGTGCAGCAGTTTTGCTAACCTTTCTTTCCATTAACTGATTAAGCTGTGAATGGAAAGATATAAATCATCAACACTAATGTATCCAGCAATACTAATAATATCCAGCTCTCTCCTAAATGGACTCACAGATTATAACTTTACATGTTCTTTTATTTGTAACTTTTTAAAGACATTCTATTATAAAAAACGAGGGGCAACTGCTTAGTGATACCTTTTTCAAAACTTGTTACGATGATTCATAATTCCAGTATAATGCATATGTATAAAATTATGTAGTAACTAAGTAATTCACAATTGATTGTTCTTCAAGTTGTAAATTCATGCTACAATGTATGAGAATCCATAATTATGTATAACAGAAAGGATCAAAGGGAGATGTCCTGACGTCCCATGTGAAGGCAGAGTTTGGCACCACGTCTCTGGGAGAGTCGGCCAAAATAGAGTCCTCGGGAGACACAGCTGCTGAGTATAACTTCAACTGTAATGTCCAGTGTGACTTTGACGGTCCCGAGGGACTGGACAGTATTGCACACAAACCTGTGCTCTGTAAGTATTATAATTTGTTGTTTGTGCCAAATGCTACATTTATTTTTGATAGGGGATCACTTGAACAGCATAACTGTTTACCTTCTTACAGTTACAAAGTTATTTACAGTTACAAGTTTATTGTTTATCACATTAAATATAATGAAAAATGCAGGTAAAGCACTCCTTTTTTGTACAACCAAGGACATCCTTGGTACAACTAATGTTTGGGAAACAGAGGAGTGAATAGAACCTTGTTTCTGACAAAAAATCACAACTTTGAATGACCCTTTTTTTCAGTGACTGTAATAGAGGTTCTGCCAAAAGAAAAGAAGCAGAAAGAGGAAAAGACTGTGGTGTTGGGACAATGTACAGTGGACCTGCTGCCATTGTTGAGAGGTGAGGATGTTTGTTTTACATTATGTTGTAAATGACAGCTAAACATATAAGTTAAATATTTTACATAAAATGGTTGTAAGTTACAACTCTATCCCTTCCAATAATGAATGAGAAAGAGTATGGGAAGTTCAAACACACAGCACTACCAGTGGACTAGCCCCCTTCTGTAGTGATTGCACAACTGTGGGAATGGAGATGGGCACCACTCTAGGCCCTATACTTTGCATGGAGCATAAAAGACTTTCAAATGTATTGAATTTGGCCTATCTTTGAAAGAAACTTTATCTGTATGCCAAAAAACAGTTAATCAAGCAACTGGATATGCATATATCCAGTTGCTTGAGTAACTGTTTTTTGGCATATCGTATTACCTGGATGTCTAACCTTCATCGACGAAACTTTATCTGGTTGATGTTTTGACATTCTATCAATCTTTCTATTGTGTCAAGGTGTCTATAATGTGATTTTAAGTCAAGAATAAATTTTGAAGACAATAAGGTACCAGTTCAGTTTAATAAAAGAATTGCTCATAAGAAATCTTGCCTCTAATCTTCCCCTACAGGTGAGATTCGACACAAGGCTACCCTAGCGCTGCACCCTGTTGTTGGTTCTCCACTGGAAAATTTACCAACTGATTTGCCTAAGGTAGCTTAAAATTTGTATTACTAGCACTAAATGTTGCTATGGATCTGTAAATGCTTAAGATATGGGTGCTATTTTGGATGTTTTACCTATAGAAAAATTATACATACTACTAGTAGTACAGAAGTGTTTTGTGATGGATATGGCACCTACAGAATGACTAATAGATGAATTACTAGTATGATTACTAGTATGAAAAATCTATTCTACAACATACCATACAATAACACATATGATTGTTTCACTTACTGATGACATCACAAGTACCATAGGTCATAACTCTCTGACATCTCTGATACTTATGACATCATAGATATTTGTGACATCACAGATACTTATGACATCACAGACACTTATGACATCACAGACACTTAAGACATCACAGATACTGGATACTCATGACATCACAGTTATAAACTTCTGACATCACAGTGTGACATTCCTGTGAAATAAAAAGACATCAATGAATTAAAAGTATTTTACTTATATTGACATTGTTGAACACCTTTTTAAAAAACTTCTTTTATCCCACCACTAGCCGGAGCTGGATGTCCTGGTGACCGTACAGAGCCCTCTCCTGTACGAGGAGAACCTGGCCGACACCAACCTGCTGCGAGTGACGGTGGAGTCAGGGTTCTCCCTCCCCGACTCCTGGACACCCACACCAGCCGCTCAGTTCAACTACACAGTCACCCTGCCGCTGCCGGTAACAGCAGAGGTGTGTTCAATGGAATTGTTCAAGTTCTGTACCCATCGGGTACATTTCTTACTTTTGCAAGTTGCAACCCAAATCAACATGTGATCAAAGATATTTGAACGTTTGTATTGAAAGAAAAGTGTTCTTTGTTTTACATATTAAACCTCCAACAACTTACACCCAAATTTGCTGCTAAACATGTAGTTATTGGTGGGATTTGAGAGAAAAAATTTGTTATTGAACAGTGTATTTGGGTAATTGGAAAGATGATAGAGGAAACAGATAGATATGCATTTGAATGTACAATTTCAATTTGACATTATATATATGTAACAAGAAACTTTGCTGTATCAATATGCAAACTTTCACAATTTCACAAATCAATTTTCTGCAGCCATTACTGTTTGAATGAGAAACATTTTGCTTGCCTTTTAATACTTGTCTTGCCGTACTGTATAGCCTAGATCTAACCATCTATACACTAACTACATGACCATTGTAGAGAGAGATGCCTATGATGGCCAATAATGGCGTTCTAGTACCTGGGTACAAACATCTCTCCAAACCCAACAAGAAGTGCCCACAACGTTCAAAAGTGTCATCCAGTGCCAAACGCATGGTAATGTCAATGGCCATGTACAGTGTGACTGTAAAAGCATGCTCATGTGATCCTGTGTGGTACTGTCACATCCAGCACTGTTTGCAAGAAACATGGTGTTTTGTCCCCTGCCATTGGCACCTGTTTGTTTTGCACCAGAGCCTAGTAGCAAGACAAAGGAAAGATCAGAGGAAACAATGTACTTAGACTAATATAATGTCATTGCAGACACCATTACATCCTGAGATGACTTTGACAAACATCCTCCCGTTGATCCCACAAAGATCCCACCTTCTGACACCATGTATGCTTTGTGGTCCAGAAATTGCATGTAAACAATCACAATACATTGTTTTGTATAGACAATTATAATAGTAATTATCAATTATAAGATTTGTATTTACCTACTTTCTCTGACTCCAAGTAATTTTTCTTACACATATTCTTTGCAGAAAGAAGTACCGGTGGTTTTTGCCAATGGCCTTCTGAAGCCAGGCCAGGAGAAAGAACCACCCCAGAAGAAATGGATGACTGTTCCTAATGCACAGAGTGGAGCTAGTTTCATCCCAGACAGGTAGATATAGACTACATGTTATCTAGCCTATCTACAAAATGTATTTCCCTGGTGATGGTGAATCTAAAACACACTCTGCATAAGACTAATCTCCAAGCCGATCTTTAAAAATTTGATTTCAATCTTGATTTAAATCTTGCTGATTTTCTCATGTCTTTTTTTCAGTTTCCTGACAGCCTCCTCTTATGATGAAGAGGATGGTGACTTCCGTACCAAGGAGGTGAGAAACAACTTTAAAACTCAGGGTTTACAAAATATTGTTTAAAAGGTATGCTACATATGGTGTCAATTTGTATGGCAAATTTTCAGGTAAAATGATTTTAGGGGATGAATGTTTGAAGGGCCAAGCTGATACGTTTTACTGCCCTTGGTGCTGATGTACATGCTGTGATTGAATAAAACTGTCACACATGAAATCATCAAAAATGAGGTGTAGTACCTCCCTGTGATGTTAATGTAATTATGCAAATGTGTTGTCAGGACCGACCCTTTCGTGTGGAGGCGGAGTCAGAGAAACCCAAGGTTGTGTGGAATGTGGAGAGGAGGTGTTACCTGGAGCAAGGGGCTGTCACCAGGTGGGCCATCTTCTTATCTTACCATTTCTCAATTATCATGACAAGTATCATATAAGTGTGTTTGTGTGTATCAACTGATTTATCCATGAAAACTTTGCAGTGCCCTTTGATCTGTCCAGCAGTCAGCTGTCAACATTCTAATGTTTTCTCCCATTGCCATGAACGAACCAAATACAAAATCCCACTATCTGATACCATGTATAAATTGTGTCATGGACACTGCATGTAAGCACATAACTATATATGTCATGAATTTCATATTTAACGTACGTTTGCACAAATTGATATCTACTAATTATCTGTAGTTATTAAAGAATAACCTAATTGCCTAATTAAAATCTAGTTATTCTCTAATAACTACGGGTAATTAGTAGATATCAATTTGTACAAACGTAGGTTTGTAGCTTTGACCATTATGCACATGAAAATCATATTTTTATTTCAGTTACTTGTACCCAAGTGCTATATTATAACTTTAAAGATAATTACATTTGGGGCAATAAAATGTGATGACGTCATCCATATGGTCCATAAACTCATATTCATAACCCTTTTGTACCCAGGTATCAATATTCAGTACAACTACAGTTCTTTCTAAATTTCTTTGCGAGAAAACGATGGAAAGCTAAAATGCCAAATTAGCCAGGGAGGACACCTTAAACTGAAGAAATTTAAATTGATAGACATCCTATAATGTTTCAACTGAAGGCTCTTAGAGAACCTTTTTGAAATAAGTTTCTGTTTCTACTACTTTCCCTATAACTGTTGGCACTTGAGTCTTTGTAATAACCTTAAATGATATCCTCAGCTTTCAGAACAAGATAGCCATGTCGCGTGTGTGGCCAGTGGAGATCATGAGGACTCCAATCCCACAGGCATCCAAGGGCAAGGGCAAGGTATGGGATTGTCTTTTATGGTGAAGGAAATGATTTTGCAATTGACTTTGAGGCAGGCCTATATGTGGTTACATACGGACAAATGTTTTGCCTCCACCATAATAACATACTTACTTCAACCTTACATGGTGTGGAACAAACTTTGTTCACGGGTGTGTTTCTGAAATCAATCTTTCGCAGCTGTTCATTGTGATGTGGTGTGCTGCTGATAATGTTTGCTTGCAAATTGTCTCTGTTTGTTGAAGTAATCAAAATGTATGAATGTTTGAAATTTGTTTGCATTTAACCAATGGATTATGGTTTAACATTGTGATGGTGATGATTCTTTGTGTGTTTATTGGCTAACCATGGTTGTGTTTTTTTGTGACTGTGTTGTTGATGATAATGTCTAATATGATGGTGTCTTTTCTCTCTCCTTCATCATGTAGAAACATCTAACCCCAGCTCCTTCTGCTATGGTTTGTACCTAACCTAGTTGTACATACAGTTCTGCATGCCTATGTGGTACAGGTAGTATAGTGTTAAACAGTAGAAACAGTAGAAAAAGGGTTTGAGTTACTATAGTTACAATTAGAGCTGTGTACCGGTACGCAGTACCGATACTGTACCGGAAAAATTGATTAGGTACAGGTCCAAAATACCTAATCCCTCAGTACCGGTACTGTACCTAAACAATTTCACACCAATTTTATGCCTATTTGTGACCTCAAATGTTTAAATAGCTGGTTAACAATGGGTGCCTGTGTAAGGACAGTGTGTTCATGAAAACAAAAACATCTTAGTTTTGCCTATATTTTATCTGAGCATTCGCCATAAACAAAGAATAAACCTTAATTATCAAGTTTATTTATGTTTTTTTGTTATTGAAGGAGTTCAGAAGAGCATATAAATTGGTCGAATTGTTCAGGTACAGGTTCAGGTCCGGACCTGTACCTAAACCTGTGTACCTGTACCTGTACCTGTACCTAAAATTTGTTTAGGTACACAGCTCTAGTTACAATGTAAAAGAGTTACTAGATTAGATGACCAACGATGGTGGAACAATTGGTGGAGATCAGTAGCTGGTACAGGTACAGTTCTTTACAATTTAGTGTCACTTTTTCTCTTCCAATGGCATGAACCATTTGATTTGATTCTTTCAAATTGGCATTTCCCAAATTGCGTTCAATTTGATGAGTTTCGTGGTTTTTATGAATGATCAATAAAATCATAGTTTTTTTTACTACAATACCTGCTTTGAAAGCATTTGGTGATGTAGGAGTTAGAAAAGAACTTGTCAAGGAATCCTCCAATTCATTTTTTTGCTGCAAGCTTTGTAACCAATGTGCAATTGTGACTTCTGGTCAAGGAATGTCTTGTTTCTTCAAATTTTGTCTGCTATATTCTAAAGCATCATATACATTTTTGGTGACACCTACTAGTATGTAAAAGTTAGCATTGAGGGACAAATGGCATACACTTCGACTTAAAATTATGAAATGGTAGTGCTAGAAATATGAACATTAACAAGCCACTCCCTCAAATAAAACTCCTTAAAAAATTTAACTTTGCCATTGGATTGCATGACTAGAATTAGATCCTTAACACAAAGTTACCAGTAGACTAAGTACACATATCTATGCATGGTGACTAGCTACTAACATGTCACATTTGTGTCTAACATGCATGTCTGTTCTCTCCCCTTCTCCTCGTCACTAACAAGCGACACTTGACCACCTCACCTACACCCTCTAGCGGCTCGGTTGGTAACCCCCCTCCCACACCTGTGTTGTCTTGTGGCATATCTGTGCATGTCAAACAATGTCTGATTTCAGCACGTGAATGCCTTGTCTGTGATTTTGCACTGATAACAACAGAACATTGTGCAGAGATTTTTGCTTGCATGAAAATCCCTGTAATATTGTCAAGCATGTGATCACCATTATTGCAATAGAGGTGCATTGTTTACAGGTAATAATATAGAGAGCTTTAATATTCCCGCTGTACAGAGATCATAATCTAATATTCCGCACTAACATGTGATCAGTACTGGACTGATATGCATGCCAGTAAACATTTTCAGAGCATGAATTAATCTGTTCCCAACCTAATTTTTCGTATTGCTTAATATCCTGTATGGCATATGCATGGCAAAGGTTTTTAAGCTTTTTTTAAAATCATATTTGGAAAAAGAAAAAGTCTGTTAGTTTCTAAAAATAGCATGATTAAACATGCTGTTTGGCTATGGGTATTAAGAGCAGACAAAAGATGGTGTTTTAAGGAGAAAGATGTTTTATATTTTTGTATATTCAAATATAATTCAAAACTGCACCTTCTATTGCAAGCATCTTGCCAGGGCTTCAATTTCATCTGTGACCTCTGTGGTTTACGGCATGGTTGGTTTGGTATTTGTTGCTGTGTTGTTTGTCTGTCTTGTGCGGTGGCATCCTTGTACTTGTGTTACAGTTTCTGTGTCAGACTGTCTCTGAGAAAAAAAAATGGTTGTCAAAGGTTCTCAAATAAATAGAGTTATCAAAGAGATTGTAAGGTGTATCATAATGTGGAAGCTGGGTGCATAGTAATTTTTTGTGAATCTCGGGACTCCAAACATAGCTTGATATGGTCATTCCAAATTCTTACTAGAGGATCTTAAAGTATCAGTGGCCAAAGCATCATACTTCACCTCATTTGAGGATGACAAAAACATTCAAATTGCCTTGTTGGAAAATGGCTGATGTTTTTGCAACAGGTTATCATGCTAATGATGAATGTAACAAGTACCCTGCTAAAGGTATACATTGTATCACATGACTGTATACACAGTGGGCTTTGTGGACAGTGTGATGCACTTAGTCTTGTTGGTTCTGTGATTGAACCTTAAAGCATTGCTGATATCTAACATTTCTCAATGTGTGAATATAGGACAGAGATGATGACGTCCAGGTCAGCTTCCATGGCGTGGCATATGTGGATATGGCTCCACTGTTGTACCCGGGAGGTAAGCACAATTAAATCTGTTGAAACTTCAACTTTTAAAGTGTCTTATGATTAGGCTTTGGTTACTAGGCTACAAAGCCTGAACTATGCAAACCTGTATATTTATGTACTGTTGATTGGAATAGTTTTGAGATTATATGCTGCTATTCTAAATTAATCAAATGTCTTATGTTGTGTATGTTTCATCCATATTTCAGTCAAGAAGATCCGAGGTGCTTACAAGATCATGGCATTCAACGAACATGAAGTGTTTGAAAAGGTGGGTATTACATGGTATATATCCTGCATCTGTGTATTGTTCTTTTGGTCCATGAATATATTTGGGAGAAGTCAGGAGTCATTGCTGACAAAATAATTGTCCATAAATCTTTCTTAGTTTTAGACCACCTTTCCCCCATGTTACTACTGTACAGCTAGCCACATGTATTGTATCTTATTTTAAAGGATTGAATTACTACAAACTGCAATAAACCAAGAGCTCTAGCTAGTCCACAATCACGTCCTAAAAGAGGCATTTATGTCATTGTCCTCTCTTAAACAGACAAGTCGGTCCCACTTAGATGTCTGCTTGTCCCCTGACAAGGTAAATCTAACACGACAGTTAATGTTAGAAAAATAACACCCATGGTTCCCGCAGAATCTCATCTGGAGAGTCTGTAAAGTTCCTGTTGACAGTTGGATATCAAATACTTACTGTTTATTTGAGTGGAGCTTGAGTTACAGCTCTGCAGCTGTTTGGTTCCTATAATTTGTTACCTCAGACTATACTCTTCCATCGCCATGCAGTTCTTTCAGTTCACTAATCCTTTGATAGGGCTACATTTAAGTTGTTCATACAAATTTAGTGCCTTTGATTACCTTCTAATCAAAGAAAAAGTTCACCTTTGGAAGGAAACTTTCAGATACACAACAACTGTGTTGACATTGAAGTTGGTGCATGCACGAGACAGGTTAAGCGTTTATTTTTAGTACCCAAAGGTTAAGTTGTTTTTTCTGTGACACATTTGAGGCAAATTATTATGCCTAAAGAAGGCAAGTGGTTGAATAACCTGTGTGTACAGTCATAGAGATAGACTTGAATGTCTGTAGGTATTATCAGTGGGTAACAGTATGGCATATGATTTTTGAGCAGAATGTTGCAGGATTTCTGACTCCATGATTTTTTGTCCCACAGACCAAGAGAACAGGTGGGGTTGCGCAGGAGGCTGCCCGTATTGCCAGTGGTCTCAGTCGTAGCACGGCCACACCGGCCAAGGCGTCTAAGGACAGCAAGGAAGGAAAACCTAAGGAGGGCAAGAAGGTAAGACACAAATGTCATCATTATGATTTGTTGCACTGAGATGAAGGTGTATGAAAATAGCACTTTATGCTATGTTTGTCACCGTATTTTTATTTCAGAGTAGATGTATCAAAATTACTAGAAAGGTAACATTTTCAAAGCAAATGTATGATGTTTACCCTGTGTCACATATGGTCTGCTCTGTTAATTCTTACTCAGATTCATTGTATGGTGACAGGAGTCTAAATCCCACATACTATAAAAGTTGCAACATTATGTAACCTACACCAGTTACCATGGTGACAGACAGTCTGGTTCAGGTCATTGACCAGGTCAGTGTTTGGAACGGAAGAAGAGGAAACAGAGCAAAACAATTGATTCCTTTGGTAAACATGAATATCTCAAAACTTGCAGTATTGATGTGTAAACCTTGATGTTTCAGCCGTCCACTATGAAGGCAGCAGACGGTAGCTCCTCAGACATGGCTGACCAGCAGGCACCCCCGAATCTGGAAGGACAGGTTAAACCAAGTCTGCAATAGAGGATAGCAACAAATTAGTGTACACCAACACACTAGTTAATTTCTCATGCCATTTAATTTGGAAATTCAGTATCAAAGAGAATGTGGGGCTTACGTATATCTTACCTTTTTTCTCCCCAGCAATATGTTGAAGCTCGGTCCTATCTGATTCTGGAGTTCGTGCTGGACAAGCCATTGGTGCCCAAGAGGCCGCCTGAGGAGCTAGCCAAGAAGTAAGATGGCAGTTTACATGTACTGAGTGTTTGTGAGACAGTGTTTTGGCCTTTTGAACTGGCATTTGAAGAGGTCCCTACCAAGTTTCATGCCAACAGGTTTTATTCTGTGATAATTTTCAGAAAAAAAAACAATGATTATCACTCAAATTTAAGACAGTCACTGGTTGGTTTAACATTTCATTTTGGGTTATTCAGGGCATTAGTGTATGATGTTAAATTCTTTTCTGTCCATTCCAGAGTTGCTGAGTACATTCCACCCAGGCCGCTATTCCCTCGCAGAACAAATGGTGCACAGAGGGTAAGTCACTCGTTGTATTGCAATGAACTGATCTTATCTAAATACTGTATTTTGGTGTGAAGCTTCATTGCGGTCAATTTGAAAGTATGCTTGTGTAACATTGTTCTTCCTTCTGAACCAGGCAGTGGAAGACTTCCACACACAGGTGGCTGGAGTGGCAAACTTACTGCTGGATGAGTTCAGGTAGGATATCTTTTAAAAGTTTTATTTTTTCTTAAGAACCTAATTTCCTTTTTTTTCCATCAGTATTTCAGTATAGGCCAAAGCAAGCAGCAGCTGTATTATCTTTCCTGTTCTTGAAACATGTAGTTTTCCTCTTGATCTGTGTAGTCTAACAGAACTGAAAGAAATGCTCTGTAACTGTCCTTTTGTGATGTTTTGTTAAATTATAGTAGTTTTTAATTTGAACCGGTCTTGTTTTGTAGGGAGTTGTTTGGTGAGGAGTTTATCCCAGGACAGGAGACTCCAGATCCTAGAAAGATGGAGGAAAGGTGAGGACTTATATAATGCTGTCTTCTTTCTTTCAATTGAGGCGACCGCCATCGACATTATTGAATATTCTGTTGCCTGTTGGTAAGACTGCATACTGGGAATGGGTGTACATGTAGTCTGTAGGGGTGTTATACTTACTGTCTGATTTACTTGTTTGAGATGCTGTGTTTCCAAAGCTTTGAAGAATCTGTAAGATAGTTTGTTGCAAATTAGCAGCTCATCTACTATCATTATAGAGTTTATCAATTTAGAGTTTAAAGTAAGCCTAAAAAACATCATACATTAATAAAATATTTTTCTTCCATTTATATCTACTGTGATGCCTTAACAGGAATTGATTCTGAGTACAGGGTACATATTACTAAGTTTTCTAATCCTGTTAATGCTCTGCATTCTAGGAGGAAGAAGTTGATCTATGAGCTCAACACGTCAGGAAAGTACTTTGCTTTCAAGGAACAACTGAAGGTGAGCCAACTTGTCATTTATTGACTTTTGTCTGAAAAAAAAAGAAGAAAAATTTTACAGTTGTGTCAATGTCTTTCTGCAGGCTCAATTTGAGGCTCAGATGCACATGACTTTGTGTAAGAACTTTTTCCCTTTCTATGACTAACCTGTGATGAATATGTTTTGTAGCATGCTGTGGTGAAGATTGTGAGAGAGAAGTATCTGAAGACAACTGCTTTTGCCAGCAAGGAGGAATTGCAGGTACAAGACATGTTCCTGCTGTGTACCTATCTACAGTTTGAAGCTCTTAAAATATTTGTAATGCCTCCAAGGCTTTATGTACATTGTGGTTTTATAAGTGCCACTGTAACTGTTCACAGTAACTGTCTTAATTTGGAGGAACAGGCTCTTGTTTAAAGGTTATTGAATCACCACCTAAGTTGTAACATTTGCTTTTGCCATTACGTTTCAGTGACTCATTACTAGCTATGTGTACTTTCCTCAGGTAGGGTAGGTTTATTATCTTTTGATTGTTATAATAATATTGTAATTGTCTTTGTTTTGTATGCAGGCCTTCTTGAGTGAGCTGTATGTCTACCTGGTGGATCAGATGCATGTTGGCCTCAGCAAGGTGGGTTTTCTGACGGCTTCTCATGCTCCTTTACAATCTAGTATCATCAGCTCAATAGAACGTAGAGATATGCATTTCCATCACTTTATAACATGCTGTTTATGCAGGGTTGTCCTTGATGATGAGAACAGTGCCTGTATAACATTTAGTCCTTTCTTCCTTCAGGTGGTGTCCCTTGAAGACCAGGCCCCAGTGCCTGAACCCCTGACTGACTCTGCCCAGCTCAGACACTTCGCACGTGAAGCGGAGGTCAATGAGAATTTCCAACTCGCAGAAAGATACTACCAGGAGGTGTGTATGTCCTTGAGAAAAAGGTGTCATACTGCAGTTTTGTTTACAATTTGACAGTTAGGCAGATACTTCAGAATTCTGGTGAAAATCTTTACAATACATGTTACAACATCAAACTCTACATTGTGAAATACAAAGTTGAAGTTTCCAGACTGAGTGTTGATGTAATGTTTTCTGTCTTGTGATTTTTCTTCAACATTACAGCGGCTGGCCAGGAACAGGAGTGACCCTGACCACTGGTTTGACTACGGCTGTTTCTGTCTGCTGACTGGGAACCATGCCAAGGCTGAGGAGTGCTTCAAGGAGACAGTGTCCATCGACCAACAGCACCTCCCAGGGTGGGTACTATAAAACGTTAGTCAGCACCCAAAATATGAGGAGAAACTTACAGGACATTCAATTGGTTTTCTAATGGAAAGTATTGTCTTGTTTTTAATATGTTGTTGATATCACATCAGGTAATGAGGATCCCTAGTACGTGAGAATGCCTGTCATTCACATGTAGCATCTGCCCACATAAAATGATGAACCCATTGCTAGGTTATGTTAGACTGTTGTACAACAGAGGGTCACATGTTTGAAAAGTTTGAGAAAATGGAACCACACAACCTTACATGTATCTTCAAAATCTGTGTAAAATGTTTCTCCCGTAATAGTGATCTTGCTGAACGCAATCCGACAACATACACAGCAGAAACCAATTCAGCACCAAGGACAGTGACAGTGACTGTGTTTCTCTATAAATGGAGTATAGAGCCACCTTCTATACTGGATTCCTTATCTCATTTGACTTTTACACCCTGGTTCTACCCTCCAGTCTGCTGCTGTACGGTATCGTGTCAGCCATGGAAGAGAGGCACGAGATGGCGGAGACCTTTTTTGAGAATGCCACCTGTGTGGAGCCTGACAACGTGGTGGCATGGACACTGCTGGGTAAGCTTGTCTCTAAACTTTCACGATCTATCAGAAACTGTAATTCCTGATTTTCTCAAGGTATGTGTTCACTGTTTCTACAGTCACTTTTGTACCATTAAGTTATCATTACCATTGTTGTTTGCCTCCCCCTCCTTCACTTTCCACCACCCTGAAGATTACATTCTGTGAAAATGTCTATTTTCCTCAGACTGTGAATTTTGCTCCTGTGAAGACAAAAGTGAATTACTAGTATTTCTTGATAGCTTATATCTACATCTAGATGTAAGCATGTTACAAATTTACCACAATAGAAAACAGATTCTTTGATAGAAAAGAGTAAGTCAGCAATAAGTGATTTCACATCTACATGTATGCAGGTCTGTTCTATGACGGTCTGGGGAATGACATCCGAGCGGAGATGGCTTTTTCTGAAGCCAACAAGCTGAACGTGCAGGCAGCCATCCACAAGAGGGATGAGGAGAAAGCCGCCGTGAGGAGGGCACATGAGGAGGAGGGGAGGGCCAGTGTGTCTGATGCTGGGGAGAGAGGTTTGTATAAAGGCATGAAACTTGTATGCAAGATATATTGACAAAGTATTATGGTATTGATAATAGTAAAGTTTACAGATTTTCTCAGGACTTTTAGATCTGTGTTTCGCAGTGCTCTCCTCTTTTGTCCAAAGTTTTTGTGGTTTTATTTCTGAATCATTGGTTTTAAAAAAAAGTTGACCAAGTGTCCATGAAAATAAATGAATATTTACAGTTTCTCCTTTCTCTGCATTTTCTTGTTCTAATAGAAGAAGGAACACCACGGGAATCTGGAGAGGACGCGCTGTCCGTTCCCAAGGTGATGGAGACAGCTGCCACGCCCACGGGGGACGGTGCAGGTGCAGCAGCAGCTGCTGCAGCTGCAGCTGCATCTGTACCACCTGGATCAGTCAAGTCCAGCAGCTCCGTGGCAGGCAGTGCCAAGAAGGGATCTGTCATCAACCAGGATAAGCACGGTGGGTTTAAAATGTGATGTCTGTAGAAACATAGTTTGCAACCATAGTTTGATAAAATTTGCCTCAAATGCCTCATATCTAGCACCTACATTTGTAATTCTAAAATTTCATGTCACACAGTACACAGTTGATTGAGTTTTTTGAAGCAATATGGAATACAGTTACAAGAGGTTTTTATTGGTATATCAAATATGCTATGGTGCTGGCCTTGGTGCTGAACTATTAGCAGAACAATGGTGTGACATGAAACGTACCAGTCTTATTGAGTTTGTAATAGACATTACGTCTTATCTGCATGGACAGTACCCATGCATCTGCAGATTATATACAGTATGCCACCTAGCTAGCTAGCTCTAACTGCAGCTAAAAAGTATCATCAGATGGTGTAACCTAGTCCACCTAGCCAGTTTTCTTGAACTGCAGGAGAGATATTTTGACACTGTTTCCTGCGCAGGGTCCCAGCCTGCAGAGTCTGTGGCGTCTCGGCGGGAGGGGGAGGGTGAGGGCAGCCGACACTCCACCCCTGAGGTGGCGCGTGAGCCGACCCCCGTCCCCTCCACCAGTGTCTACATGCAGGCTGTGGAGTTCCTGCTGGAGGTCAAGGCCACTAAGGTAACAGTTCAGTCTAGTTTCCATTCTTATCTTGCATTTTTATCACTATTAACTTTTTGTGTGCTAAAATTTTATGTTATCAAGTACTAATCATGGGATTTGGAGTTGTCAACAGCATGCTAACACTGAGCATCAGGGGACCATTGCATGTCAAATTCGTACTGTACAAAAATATACCTTATACAGTCAAATCTGCCGGCTGTACAAAAATGTCAATATGTCAAAATAAAGTCAAATCTGCAAGAAGGCCACCCAAAAGACTGCAGTGAAATGGTCTTCTTGGACAGGTTGCTTATGCTCGAGCCTATGGAAAAAATGTTGGAACCAAGAAAGTATGGTTGTCATGGCCAGGCAGCTGGCTTGAGAAGGTGTCTGCTTGGGCAGGTTTGACTGTACCATATTGGCCAGGGATAGTTTGCTAAAGGAATGTTTTCGCATGAGGGATATTTGAATGTAACAATGTCCAGTATAATCATACAGTTTGTCACATTATCTCTCACTCTGTGCAGTCCAAGTTTGGGGATACCAAACGTTCAGTAAGTCTTTACCACACTGTGGCAGTATGGGTCTATGGTATATACTCTTTGGTGGCACTAACTAGATTATGCATGTATTAGGCTGTGAGGTTATCTGTGAGCCTGTACATGTCTTGTATTATCTTTTTGGTGATACATTATGATCTTTTGGGTGTCCTTGCTTCCCATTCTTATGCAACTTCTATTAGACTGTATTTTTGTGAAGCAGGTCTGAAATTCATCCTGAACTTCGATCTTTCATTGTCTTTGTGTAGAATGGCAGTAGACAAGTAGATCAAACTCATCGGTATACAGATTGAATGTAGATTCCATTTTAAAGCAAAACTATTGTAACAAATTTACAGTCACTGTGCATAGTATTGCTACCTTATGTTACCAGTAGTTTCAATGTTGAGTCTTTATTGTACTGACCTGTATCTAATTGCTAACTCCAGTTTGCTGAGCGAGCCCTCGCACATGAGCTGCTAGCCAAAGGCGGTGGCCCCAGTGCTGAGTACAACGTGGCCCTGGCCAGGCTGCACATGCAGAAGAAGGAGTATGCTGATGCAGAGGCTTGCTTGAAGGAAGCTACATCCATGGATTTCCAGGTAAAAGCAGGAAAATAAAAGGTTAACACAGAGCTTTGTATCGACAGCTGACAATATACAGATTGTGTCCAAAGAACTTTGTTAACCAGTAATTTGCCAACCTAATTTCTGGGAAAAATACAAGTTTTTGAACGTGTACAATGTATTTTGACATTAAACATGATAGTTTTCCATTTTTTCCTTAGAACCCAGATGCCTGGGCCATGACTGGCCACCTGAACTACATGCGAGGCGACATGGCGGAAGCGAAGGACTGCTACGACAGGACGCTATCCTTCGTCAGGGACGCCCAGGACACACACGCCATCTACCTCCGCCTGGCCTCCATCTGTCTGCAGGACGCTGAGGTAGGTTGCAGATGTCTGCAGCCCTACTACAAATGTATACATTGTATATTTTATTATAAATTTCCCTTTCATTTCTGTTACATGTATTTATTACTAATAGTTATTATTTACTTCTTATCTGTTTTTTTTATCACCATGGTCATTATCATTTATTAATTTATTGTACACTGTATGTATATGACTTAATGTATTTTACCTGTTTACATGTATGTATGTATGACACAGGGCATTGAAAAGCAGGCTTACCAATGAGTGGGCAACCCTGGGTAAAAATGGTAAACTTGAGGAAAATAGAATAAAGAAATTACATGTAATTGATTCTACATTGTACGTATAAATGATACATGTGCAAATCTTGAATTAAGATTAAATATACATTGTACATTATCATTATGGTGATGTTGTAAATGACGCAGCAAGTCAGTGTCTTTATGATGTTACTCTGTTGTTACAGTTTGAGAAAGCCAAGAACACCTTCCTGTTGGCCTGTAAGCACTCCCCGTCCTGTGTGTCCTGGCTGGGAGTGGGCATTGCCTGCTACAGGGTGAGTACAAACACTGGGAACTGTACAGTGAGGGGTCTGGTAGATTCTAAAGCTGTAGAGTGGCATGCGTGTTTGAATCTTCTCATCAACTTCTGTGCCTATCTATGCAATGAGCTTTTTGTTCTCTTACTGGTCCAGGAGTACTTAGCTTATTTGAAAGTATCTTTCTAGATGAATTTGGTGTATGCATAATCTTATGACTTGGAAATGTATTTTCAGCTGGGTGAGTTGTCCGAGGCAGAAGATGCCCTGTCTGAGGCTAACATCCTGAACAATGCTGACCCTGAGGTCTGGGGTTACCTATCGCTGGTCTGCCTACAGGTTAGTATTAGTAGAAATCAATAAGATCAGTAGATGAGGTTTGTGCCTTTGAGCTGTGATTAAAACATTGTCAAAGTGGTTGTTTATGGGGTATTGGTAATAATTTACTGCAAGTGCAACCATGGCACAGCAATTTTATGGATCAAAGTTTAGTTTTAGGTAATAGGCAATTCTACTGTTATATCTGAAGTAAGTCGTTGCAATCTTGTTTGTATGTTTATTTTAAAAGTAATGGGAATGTTGCTAACAAAACCTGTCTTACAGACTGGCAGACAGTTGGAGGCTGAACAAGCCTACAAGTATGCCATCAAGGTACTGTATCTTGTTAAGTGTACAAATCTTGTATTCTTTCTACTAATACCACAATCATTAATAAAAAAAAGAGAATTTTGTACCTGAGAGTTTTTTTTTGTCAACCTTTAGTAACTTTTATATTCTTTCTTAATCACTAAATTGCAAATTTTCTGCTCGCTTCAGGTTGGTTTGCACGACGAGGGTCTGATGAATGAAATTCACGACATGCAGCAGACTGTGGGATTCGGTGATCCGTCCTTCTAAACACTGCCTCAACCTTCTCCATACACAATGTACAACTCATCAACAACACAGATGACACTGTTTTGACTTCTTAGATAAGCTTTATTCAGGTCTTCTTGTTGCTGTTGTCAAAAGATGAGATTACCAATTTGAAAGCCTTCAGTTGTAGGCTTTACAGTTTGAAGACTTGCAGCACTTTGTAATTAGAAGATTAGTCATTTTGGAGTGCTCTCTGTTATATCTGCAGTTTCTACATGGTTCTTTGTAAGCATTTGAAATTATCAAAAAATGGGTGTAAATATATTAATTCTGGTGAGATTTGTAAATAAATATATATTTCTGTGTTGCTCTTTTCTTGATAAGTAAATACTTTGACTCACTATCTCTGTGTCAGTTGTCTTTGTTCCTTGTGGGTTTACTATTGAAACACCTCAAAATTGTGGTTTTATGACATGTTCACTGTGTCTTCCTGTCTGCTAACATCTGAGGGTTGAAGTTGTGCCTGAGAAACTGGTGTAGAGTAGATGCCTTCTGTAGGGACATCTTTCCCTTCATCTGTAACTGCATAGCTGTGCTGGAAAACAAAAGAACAGCCAAGAGGGATACAATCAATATTTGCCACTGACATATCTGGTTAATGTATGTGTAACATATAAAGATCAACACAAAAGCATACAATGCCAGAGTGGTCTTCAGGACCATCCATTTTGTATACCAGTTATCATCTTTGACATACCTCGTCTGGGTTCCCTGTTTCCCATGTACTGACTAACTAGAAAATTTGGATGACTTACAAGAAAAATGTTACATACTTGGTATACTTTCATGAGAAATTGTGGAACATGCTGAAACACGATTTTTTCATGGTACTTTTAATATCACGGCTTTTGCTTCTGTGTGGCAATTAATATCATTGCCTAGAACAAATATTTTGCCAACTTTCTATTTGCTGCACCTGCTGCCACCATTACAGTATTATGTAGTTCCGTGAACATGCCCATTTTTCTCAGACTGTGATCTTTCGCTACCTCGAACATAAAGTGATTCACAAATGTTCTTGTTTTTACCTACCATTTCATGAGCTCTGCCAGTCCACCACAGTTGTAATACAGGTTCAGGGCTGTGGCATAGTGCACACCTGGCATGGACTGGTACATCTGCAATACCTGAAACACAAAGGTGCAAAACTGAACTTGTGATTTTACTGCAAGATGAATATGTAACATTAATTTGTACTAGTAGATTGACATTAGCATCAAACACAATATGTATGAACTTACATGTAGGCCCTTAAGCTACATGTAAGTGCAGCAATATGTAATACTATATGTAATACTATAATTTATCATCAATATTGGGTATGCTATTAATCTCTTGCCAGCAAGGGCTGAATTAGTGGGGCTGAACTGTAAGGGTCTGGAGCAGCTGTCATTCCCCAATAACTTAGGTGACCTCAACATGACCTCAGGTATGGCCATAGGACTGTAAGGATTGAAGAAGTGTAAGATACAAATTAAAAGGAATTCTACACTGACCTGTTCGCCTTCTGGTTCCACATCAGGTCTGCCTTGTACAGAGTTGCCCTTCCTCTGCTCCAGTCTGGCCAGATCAGACAACAGGGAGGCTGTTTGTTCTACAAAACATTCAGAAGTTAGAGTGACAAAAATAATTGATTTGTACCATCCAATAAACAGGCATGTAACATAAATTTTCATAATTACATGTATGTACTCAGCATTAGCTATGACAACAAAAACTTAAGACTTAGTACATACATTTGTATGTTTAGTATATACTGACAAACCATGAGTGTACCTTGAGTGTCAGTAAAGAGTACAGTGACAGAGGTGTGGGCCAGGGCTGCTAGCACAGTGCTGTGGTATTTGGTGGGAGTCCTGCAGAATAGAAACCCATACATTGTAGTACATTGTACATGTACATGTATGTACCATGTAGAGGGTTTAAAAGATAACAAGCTAAAGCATTACTGTTCCCACTAAAATCAATTCTACTGAATACAGAATGACATTCAGGTCATCAAGTCCAGTCTAAATCACTTCACTTATGGAGAATCCATATAAAGCAAAACAACATTTGAAAATTCTAAGAATGGTATACCTGGCTTTCTTGGGCTCCATACCAGGTTTGACCCTATCCTTTTCCACAATGAGGCAGGGCTTGTCAAACAGCTCACACAGCTCCTGCACCCGCTGAACCAACTTCTCCCTGTTGGTGCTGTTGCTAAAGACTGTGGGGAAAAAAGCTGGAAATAAGCTCCAAATTACAATGAAAGAGTGAGGAATGTCACCCAGTAACTGTTACAGTAAGTTGTATTATGCAGCAATCATTAGCAAGAAACATAGACATACTCTACAGCAGCTACATTTTGTACAAGTGACAAAAGGGCTCCAGCCATGAGGTGTCGCCAAAATTGTAAGAAAAAGTCACACACGACATACATGTACACATATGCCCTGTAAGAGTCTGACCTGAGAGAGTTTTCCTCTCCACACCCATCCTGTTACTGAGGACATAATCACAGCTGCCCAGCTGACACACCACAGCATTGATGTCATGGTGGAACCTCAGACATGATACTACCTGTAGGTATGTGGAAAAACAAACAACTTATTTTTTGCTAAATAAAAATAATATGTTCAGAATAATGTAACAAAAAGGTGTATTTTCGTTACCTGACATTCACACACAGGCACTGCTTGTGTGTGAATTACCCTTCAGAAATTGAATGATTGATGAACAGTTTTGCTGAGGTAACAGTGTGTATGTTTTAATCTGATTAACATGAAGATAAGATTGACAGCTGACCTGCTGTGATGAGGCTATCTCCCTAGAGTCCACCAGCACCACTAGTTTTCCCTGGTTACGTGATGCCGCAGACTGAGAATTGAAAAAATTCAATTATTTTTTCACAACCATGCATGACAAAAAAATTGATAATACTAATAGAGGGTTTAGGAAACGACTTCCCCTGAGTGCAGTGGGCACTATGACTATCACATAGAATTCTGTAATTCTTACTGTAACTTACCTTTGGTGTGGAGATTGTAACATTCATCATTCTTGGACTTGGTTCAGGTCTCCGTGTAATCGTGTTATCTATGATAGAACTCGAAGGTTCTATTTCCTTTAGTGATTCAACTTTCTTGCTGGATGACTGCTGAAATCTTTGCAGTGGTCTTGCTACACTAGCTGGCACAGATGTATTTTGTTTACCATCAAAGTTACTTACTTCGCTAATGGAAGTCTGTTTCATTCTCAACCTTTCTGCCAAGCTCATTTCAAGCCTTTGTGTTGACATCATTTTGCTCTGTACACTTGTTGCGTGTCTGCCAGCAGTGCAACTAGATAATGAATTAGTCTGATTCCTATCTGCTGGATTCTCTTTGCACAGTGTTCTGTTGTATCTACTTGTGTCATCAAAGTCATCCTCCTCATCTTCTATCTCACTGGACCTCCCCAAGGACATCTCTCTCCTGCCACTAGATTGTCCAACCAGAGACCTCCTAGCAGGAGGCCTGCCAACTGGGGTCTTGAAGGCTCTTTCTTCAGTTCTGTCCTCAGACGTTGGAGATGTTGTGGGGCTCTTAGCTTGGTGTTTAGCAGACTTTGGACTGTCGTCTTCACTAGAAGTGTCTGCCATGAGGATTCTTTTTCTCTTGCCCTTGGGCTGCCCTTGCTGATTTCTCTCCGGAGTGTCCTCTAATACGGCAGCTCTTTTCTGTCTCCTTTTTGTGTAGGTCCAACAAAAACTAGTATCATTATCATGAACTGGACTAAATTGACTAAATGGACTAAATGTAAAAGAATGCATGGAAAATGGATGAATGAACAGAGGAATGATCAGAAAGAATTGAACATTGAAGAATAGGTCAAAGTAACCAATGAGTACATTTGCTGCCTACCTAGTTCTAACCCTGCCCAGATCAGGTGACATACACTCCTCCACAGGTTCCACCATGGTGCACTCTGCTGCTGAGATGTCCTCATCATCACCCACACAGAAACTGTCCTCTTCATAGTCATCTACATCTGGGTCTGGGACCTACATACAGGATGGAGAGTGAAAAGTATTACATGTAATTGTAATAATGTGAACATATTAACAAGCAAGCTGCCAGGGGGACCAAGCCTACATCCCTTTTTTCTCACATGAAAAACCGAAGCTTTGCTGCAGTTCCAAGGACAGACAGCAGGAAGAAATAACTGACCTTGACTTTTGTTTTCCAAATACCTACCCACATACTTAATATGATCATTGTCCATACAGGAGTTCATAAATCATGCTGACCATAAATACAAGGAATCACAGACACACACACAGACAGGCCTAAAACAATACCTCCATTTTTCATGGAGTTAATAAAACCACCTGAGAGAAGATGTCTGGATTCCATGGTTTCTTGACCAGTTTGTAGCCCCTCCCACCGTGTAGGACTGGACTCCGCACTGACTGCAGGTACACTGCTCTCATCTCTAAAACATTCCATGTCACTGTTATCATAAATTAAATATAGAGAAGTTCTGATGCATGAAAAAACATCAAAACCCTGCTTACCAAAAGAACATGGCGGGGTTGAATGAATTTTAAGTGTTCATCTCTTCATACTACTTAAACCATTATGAGGTCTTATGTACAGTCATCGATTTTGATACTATTAATCTTTGGATGCATCGATTTTGCGTTTAGGTGTGAAGATTAACAGACTAAGTGAGAAATTACATGTAAGACTTTAAAGGGCAACAAAAGGTTGCTGGAGAATGCACATGTGGTGCCATACAATGTACCTTCTTCAGAAGTAGCCTGTGTGCACTGTGAGGAGTAGCTGACAAAACCTTCCAAGAAGGAGTCGTCCCCCTCCTCATCTTCATCTGACGACACCAATCCTCCCTCCTCATCACTTAGCTCGGCCTCCTCCTCCAGGAAACCTCGAGCAGCATGTCTGTGACTCTACAGAAAAAGAGTCATTGAAAAATTGATCGGGGCACAAGCGCCATCTAGTAATCCACAAGGGAAATACTGCACAGGTGCCAGAGTATAACACTTCTTCTTCTCAACTGAGGTTAAGTGTAAGGCTTTTTCAAGCAGCTACACTGTACTACAGTGTGCAATGCAGCTTTGCTATGACTCAAATAGACATGTATTCAGCAAAGCACCTGAATGTTTGCACTTTATCCTTATAAAAATATTTAATTTTAATAGTATTTAATATAGAAATGCTATGTAATGGTTTTTGTTTCTCATAATTTCATCATCATTCTTCTGGATTGGAGTAATTTCAGTGTTAATGAAAAATGAATCATTCAGTAAATATTTGTTCTTCTAAAATGCATTATTTTAATATGCTTTTTTAAAGCTGCAACAGAAGTTTACCGACTGCAAAAATAAGGTTTCAATACCTTAATCTTAGCTTGTCTTCTGCCTACATCCTTCTTATGTATGTTTTTGTGCGTTGAGACACGCTTGCTATATTTGTCTGTTTTCTGTGCTGGGAGGTCAAAGTCACTGTCAGAGTCTCCTGCTGTGGTGTCCAGCACCTGTGAAAGATGGCAGGGTCAACCATAGTCTGAATCAGAAAAAATGTTCAATACTTTACAGTACAATGTCATACTGACACGCAGACAGACTGACACACAAACTAACACACAGGCAGACTATCTTTGGGGGAGTTGGGATCCATTAACATACATTATTTTTTAAGTCAAAGGAAGTGAAGACTTGTTGTTGGCATGTCTGTGTGTCTGTTTCTACATTATAACTTGCATGAAGGGGGTGAAGTATGCCATCTCTGGCCTTGTCAACAATCCTGTGTGACAGTAAATATTATTACATGTTAAGCTTCTTTTACAATGTATGGATAGCTTGATGATAAATGCCAAATGCCTTGGAAAAATCTGTCTTGACTTTAGAAAGCAAACAGTGCTATGACAGTAGCTGTATAATTAAAATATAAATTAGATAACTGAAAATAATTTCAAATTCATTTCACATACATGTACCTTGTTTCTATGTCCTTTGAGACCTGCTCTTTTTGCTAAAGGCATATCTGATGTACATGTATCTTCCACAGCTGATGTGTCAGGTGAGGTGAGCACCTGTGCTCTGGACCGTTTCCTCTTCACTACAGCTGCATCCTCATCACTGTCACTGGACACAGGAGCCTTCCGTTCTACAGCTGATGTGTCAGGTGAGGTGAGAACCTGTGCTCTAGATCTGGACCGTTTCCTCCTCACCACACTTGCATCCTCATCACTGTCACAGGACACGGGAGCATTCTGTTCTACAGCTGATGTGTCAGGTGAGGTGAGAACCTGTGCTCTGGACCGTTTCCTCCTCATCACACCTGCATCCCCATCACTGTCACTTGTCACAGCAGCAGTGTTGGGGGAATTCAAAACTGGTCCTGGCAAAATGAACCATGTAGATTGCAATTATTATTTTATTAACCAGAACACACAAGAAATACTGTATATATCAGCAGGGCATTCAGGAATTGGTGAGACCACCTTTAGAATGAAGTAAACTCTCATTTCAGGGCATTAAAACGTCCACCAGATAGCAAACTATAATAAATAATTACAAAATGTATATTTGTTGTCATTTTCCTCAGGACAACATCTTTCTTAACATTATCATTATTTATAGTACAGGAGGGATCTCCTAAAAATGCACTTTTTAATAAGAATTTAAAGATAGAATCATCATTAAGCATCTTCAATCTGTTTTTATGTAAGGAAGTAAATGGGTTTGATATGCAAATTCTTTCTGTAAATACTCAAGGTGTTTTCTCCCTACTGCAATAATTATTATTTATTATTGATATCAAAAGTCCTTCAGATCTACTTATCATAAAATATTTTCTGCAAATCACAGGTGGGCGTAATGAGTCCTGGAGAGGCTGCTGGGAGTAAACAGCCTTCTCAGTGTTAATATTCAAAACCAGTTTCAGACAATAAAATATAACACAACCATAGGAATATGACTCAATACTTATAAAATATATCTCACTTTAAGCAGAGTTACCAAATAAGTGCATGAAATTTAACCAACCATAGTATTTGCATTCAATGA